GAGTCGCGTATCCGATCTATATATATATATATACATATATATATAGCCAATCAGTAGTTAAACATATATTTAGTTATAATTAATTAAATATATCTCAGTCTTGAATTTGCTTAACACCGAAGCACCACGCACGAGAAGCTGAAAAACTTCTACGTGACGTCGGTGCCTACTTGTTAAGAAGTTTGTTGCACTCTCGCTTAAGCGAGAGGCAACTGGTGGTACGACTGCTGAAGCAGTCGACCAACCGCATAACCACCCTCGCACGCAAAGGTAAGACGGTCTAACCGCTTTCTCGCTTGTGCATAAGGTGTGTGTTCGTAGTACGAGGCAACTTCGTAGAAGTGCCCGTCTACAATAATAGTGTTATGAACGAGGTTCAATCGAAACTTGCTGTTGACGAGCTTGCCGCCTTCAACGTAAACTAAGATGCAGAAAGTTTGACCAGAGAGATGCTATCAGAGAAAGAAGATGAAAGCGCAAATGAACAAAACTTTCAATTGACAAGCGACAACTCCACGGCAGACGAGCATCCAGTCGAACATATATTACAAAGTGAGGTCGTGCCGCTGGATTCGAACGCATCGATCCAAGAAACGATTGCCTTCATGTCGCCGCAAAGATCGGATGCACCAACAGATATCCCGACAAGGTACGGCTTAACCTCAGTCTTTACTGAAGCGCTCTATTTCCACGTCTGACATAGTTGCTGTGCTTTTGTAATGATAAGGAAAAGCTGTGTTGCAAGCTCTCCATCATATGTCGTGAAGGATACCGACTACAACACCCCTGGTAGTGCGATGAACGCTATGGAATTATCTGCCGAAAGCAGTAAAGAAAACCAAGCAGTGTCTGTTGACCCTGAAGTTCCGCTCAAAAAGGAGTCGCCCGTTCAAGTACCAGTAGTATCTGAATATAGTGTGCAATACGACTGCAGTTTGAACAAAGAGAAGCCCACTGGGTCGACCGTTGATAGTATCGTCACCGATACTATTCGAATTAACAATCATGCCATTGCATCGTTAGAGCGACTGAACGAGGTGGAAGCCAATTACAAGAGTGCGAAGACTTTGCTTTTGATACAGGAAGATAGATTGCGTCAAGTGAAAAGCAGCAGTAAAAGTTGTCGAAGGATGGAAATTCTTTGCGGCATTGCTTATGATCTACAGTGGCATGTTGGTTCTCCTTCGTGCGGCTTGAACGCATTTCGAAAACATGAGTTGTTGGGTAAGCTTGACACCTACCTTGAAGCTATATTGATACGAAAGGAGCAGACACTGCAAGAAAGAGCTGACGCGTTGCAAGCTGGCTTAGAGCATTTTATAGCTGTGGACATACCTATTGTCGATAAGCAAGTTGCCGAAAAGAAGACAGAAGCTGTTAAGCTTAACAGCATTTCGAATGGCAACAATATGCCATTAATCCAGACTGATATGCACGATGACCGACCTGGTGATGGAAATGATAGAGTGTGGGAGGACGATGATTGGTTTGAAGAAGGAGCATTTGATGACCCGGCAAGTGAATCAGATGAGCAAGAAGATGTTGTGGCGCAGATTTCTTCTGAAAAGAGTAACTTGAAACTCGGAGGTGATTTTCTGGCCGTAAAGATAGAAGAAGAGGCGTCGCTTCGGTGGCCTCGCGAGCTACCGCCGTTTTTGTGGTCCCTACTAGAACGAGTAATATCTTCTGATCCACAATCGTACGTTATGAGGGTAACACTGAAGCGATTGCTCGATGAAATCGCAAATGGTAGTGAATCAACCTCTTTTTTGCATGTCACGTGACCCTTCACGCAATACAGGTGTGATACTAGTGAGTGCAGCTGCATCGCAACAAGATGCAATTTGCGGATTATCGAGTTCATCTTCTTGCGGTTAAGGACTTCTTTGCCTCCGCTACTACGGGCTAGCAAATACGCTACGTTATCAAAGGACTTCATCCGCGAGCTGATTTGTGACACGAGTTTTCGCTCCCACTTCAAAGCTGACGCGCCCCGGCATCCGAATTCACAGCCTGGCGAGGGCGACGAGTGCAACGGCGAAGATACATTCGCATTCTTAGACGCATTCGTTGGGTGCAGGTAATAGTGTGGGTCTTCCGTGGCGCTGAATAATTCCCATTTTGAGCGCAAGATGGGTGTATACAAGTCAAGGCTAAAGCTTGTGGTTCCGCATAAGTATCAGCAGCAGATTCAACAAGAGCAACACAGTTCAAACGAACCTGGCGAAGAGATTTTACGGGACACGTACGAGTTCTTTCCCGAGCTGCTCCTCTGTATTGAATATCGAGAAAGCCTAGGAAAGCAGCACAACAACAATTTTATCAGTGTAAACTTGCTGGCTCGGAAGCAGTCTCGGAGACTGCGCTGTTTCCACTCCGTTATTTCCGTAAAGTGGAAAGTCTGGCGTTTGACTTTGAGAATGACAGCAATGATCTGCTTCATTGCGTCTGTGACGAGCTTTTTAACATCGTGTGTTTGTGGAACGATTTTAAGTGGACCGATAATCTTGAGGCTGTGGCATTAGATCGGGTGTTGTCTTTTGGTCGGATGTGACTGCTAGTATCCTCAAGATTCTTGAGCTTTATGCTCACCACCTGCAGGCATTATGGTCAGTGCGTCTCATGAATGAACCTGACCAGCTTCGATGTATTCAACTCACGGAGTTCAATGCGTATTATAGTGATCGAAGCCAAAGGAGCTTGAATACGACTGCTCGCTCTCAGTCACGAATACCAGGGGTGTCAGAGAATCGTGGGGATGGTCCTATTTGCGACTCGAGAACTGTTGTTCAACATGTGGCAACCGAAGCCCTGGAGCATCGCCTTGCTGAGGAGTATTGGAATCGAAAAGTCACCGCACTTTCTAATCGGAACCCAGGCGATGACGAGATGGAAGTGGGTTCCGACTCCAAACTTCAATTACTGAGTGATGAAGTCATTTGCTCGTGGGACCAACATACTTTGGTATCATATTTACTACGGTGGAGCGACGAGTATGCTATTCGCACGGAAGTGAACGCGCTCTCAGTTGTTACAAACCATATGATGAAGCACGAGGTCCAGAAGTTTAGGTTCATGGGTCGTGACGACACTAACGTGACTAGTGGCAGCTATGTGAACAGGACGATGGTTGATTCATCGACAAGGCAGCTTCTTGCTGCTGTAGGTCGTGCGCAAATGCTGATCCAGGATGCTGTAATTGGTTCCGAGAAACTTGCGCTACATTCTGTATCAAACCAGCTTCCTAACGAGAAAAAGCAACTGAAGCCGTTAGATTTCAAAGGCAGAACAGGAAATAAAACAAGCTCTTCTAGCAGGGAAGCTGCACCATCTTGCCCGAATTCGACTTGCATAAATGACGCAGGTGCTCACTCGGATGATGCTGTTTCGGAGACCGTTTTTCATGCTGAAGCCATTGCGTCGAAAGATGCAGACAGCTACGACGCTATTGAAGACGTAAACATTGACATTGGTATGACTGGAGAACAACCTGAGTAAATGATCTGATCCAATTGTTGGTTGTCACGAAACAAGACATGCAGGAGCTTTGCGGCCACAAATCGCGGTCAGCTCGCATGCGTGAGAAAGTTCAGATGCAATCACTGCAGCTTGCGCGGCAAACGGTCGATATTTTCCGGAATATTAGGAACATGTATGGTTCCCAGCGGCGATAATGATGGAAATGTCAACATGGTGCAGTGCCAATATGTATTGAGTCTGCATCCTCAGGCGAGGTAAACGTTCTGAAGCTGTGATAGTATACTGCAGAATAATGTCTGACTCGTTTCCCGCATCGGATACACGCATTTGCTGGAAACCCAAGACGTCTAGCCTCATGTCACCACAACGTTGTCCGATGCCTGAAAAATCTTATGGAATTTGCGCTGGACATGATTGAAGATAAGAGGTGACCAGTGAACGTATTGATCAGAGACTTGGATATTGGTGTCAAAAGTTTGTATACGAGTTGAGTTTGCTCCAAATGATGTCCTGAGAAGCGTGTTTGCTCTTGATTGTTCCAACAAATGGAAAGCCCGCTCATTACAACAATACCACCCGTTTCAATGCTCCGAGAGAATACAACGTGGTTTCTATGGACGAAGTTTAAAAGTCATACAATGACATGATGCTGTTGCATCTTCCGAAAAAGTGTAAAGATTGCGCAGCTGTGGTTGCACGTTTGTGCTGCTGCATGTAGCTTCTTGGTTGCTATACCGGCTCATGGACGACCCAATGTTTCCAACCTCTTTTGAATATTGCGTAAATAGATTACTATTGGATACGTTATTTGTATTGTAGCGTTTGCTTTATCTTTAACACTAACACTCATCCAATTGTTTACGTAAGAATTGAAAGCTAACCTCATCAATTCTCCATGATTCTACTCAATCGAATGCGGGCAGAAAAACTCTTCCACACCTTCACGATTTCATCATGCTTCCACTTCATGCAAAAACAAAACGTGTCAGGATTCTCGACGTAAACAAACGTCTTCATCACAAGTGGATCATCGGTCCTCGATGATCCACTTCTTAAACGATAGAAGACGCGCTTGGTGCAATACAAGTCGTATACCTTCACCAACACCTCGACCTACACATGCAAGCGTCAGCATATTCGCACATACACAACAGAATATATGCACATGCAAGTACCTTGTATCTGCTGCCATTTGATAGTTTCTCCTCAACAGATACTGGGAACATGTTGACGATGGGAATGTCAAGACTGAGACCGTCGTAAAAGCCATGCATTTCGCGAGAAAGTGCGAGCCTATTGTTCGGATCATGATCGAACTTGCCAAATTGACTCTTGTTGCGATTGCATTGCTTTCTCAAAATCATGTGGCAGCTTTCTGGCTTGCCGTATGGGCAAAACAGCCAGTCCTCTTCAATTCGCATACAACAATACTCTTCACTTGCGAAGTCCAGAACCGAACGGATTGTAGACGACGAAATGGATATCAGTGTAGTCTGCGGAGAATCTGACTCCTGTGAATCATAGTCGAGAAACGTGATATGCTGTAGTTCAATATACCCAGCTTCAAATCGTGTAAATTTGCACGTAATAATTTGGCCGGACAATCGAGAGCCAAGCGTATGCGGATCCGAGTCCAAGGCATTTTTGAATAGCCATGCATCTCTTTCTGAACAAGTAAAAGAAAGACAATTAGTAAGCACAAGCAGCACTATTACACAGTGGCAAGATCGTCGCACCTGTCTTGAATAGAACATGAATGCGCAATTTCTTGGCTTCATACCAAAAAGCGACATCCTTGTCTTTTTCTTCTTTCCGGAGCGCCGGGTCGTAGTATCCACACCGTGCTGACGCCAGCCGATAAAGATGGTAGCGAATTCCTTTTGTGTCCAGCGCGTTCTCAATAGATCCGCTGACGAGCCGCAACCCTATCTTTGGTTGTGCATGCTCCGGAACCCTCACCAGCACGTGAATTTGTTTTCCTTTTGGATCCTCCATACCTTCAAGGAGATCGGCAATATAGTCCTCTCCTTGCAGCTTTTGGTCTTCTTTCATTAACTCTACAACGTGATAAGTCTTCTCGCCCTTCTTCAGCTGTTTTACATCGTCCGAGCTCGAGGCCAGCCACTTGCCCTCTACCATCTTGGCAGGGTAGAGCTGCAGGTCGCTTGCAGGACATGTAATCTTCCTTCGGTTTTCCACCTTAATCTCATCTTTTAAGTCCCCCACCGACTGTCTCTTGTCAATATCCACAGGAAATACGCTTTCTTTCGTACCAACGATTATACAGAAGAGCGTGACCATTTTTTTAGTCGGCAGATTGTCGAATGAGCGAAAAGGATGTGGGACATCCTTTCATTCTGATTGGCTGACTACCACAATAACATATTGATGCCCTTCTTCTACGCAAACCACTCAGACGGGTCAGAGTTGTCCTTTCACAACGTCGGACTGAGCCGGTTCACTGCAAGTATGACTACTAAAACAGTAGAAATAGGTCACATTAATCTCTCCTATGTCACTTGCACATAGTTTTATACTCCCTGTAAATCGACCAGCTGAACCCCTCACTCTCTCTCTCCTATGTCTCTTCTGGCTACAATGATGAACGTTGTCATCGCCTTCATGGATGCACCGTTTGTGCTTGTTGCAGTAATCAAGTGTATTCGTAGCCAAAGATGTCAAAGTACCTTTTTTGCTGCTATTGAGATCATAGGCTTACAGAAATTTCAATACTGTGCAGATCAAAGTGGATTAGATGACGAACGATGCCACTGTAGCTCACACGAGCAGGTTATAAGGTTTGAACCGATATAAATGTTTGTGGCCGCTACAGTCGCTCACGACGCCCCAATTATTTTCATCTTGGCCTTGTACAAGTCCAATGTGGACGTGGTGTGCGAGTGCATTTGCTGCAGCATTCCCATCCCAAAGCAAGGCTTTTCCTCGAAGCTCAAGCTGATGGCCATCTGTACATTTGATGTGAATATGCCTGGTGATGACGTGAAGAATTTCAAGAGTGGCGTCGCAGGTGACATTATTCTGGAGGGTATGCTGCGTGTTAGCGACGAGATTAAAGTGCGCCTGATAGTGTCAGCAAGGACGAGTAAAGCAAGATGACTTATGTCCCTGTAGTGTCGCTTTGTGTGAACAAGAGCGACCTGCAATTTCAGTATGCAACTTCGCTCTAATTTATACACGGGACAAGGTCATTGGGATCTCGTATGTTGATCTTTTTCATTCGCGACCCAATACTCTTCCCAAGCTTTATCTACTCGCAGAAGCGTCTGCCCGCTTCTCACTTGAAAGATGCCAATATGGTCTGGGATTTCTTTTCACTCCGTCCTGAGTCACTCACATGCAAACGTGGCTTTTTTGGAATCGTGGAATTCTAGCCGGCTACCGATTCATGAACGGCTACGGCAGTAACACGTTTGCTAATGTCAATGCTGAGTGGAAAGATGACTTGTGTGAAGTACCATTTCAATACGTACCAAGGTATCCGCAATATGCCTGCGGACGAAGGTGCCTTTCTTGCTGGTGCCGACCCGACATCGCCAATCAAGACTTGTTTCGAAGCCATTGAAGGTAGCGAATTCCCGTCCTGGACGTTGTGTATTCAGACGATGACTCCTGAGCAAGCCAAGCAATATAAACTGATTGCAATCGATGTGAAAGGTACTGCAAATAACCAGTCACGATCTAGGAGTGTTCTCATTGAGGCCAAACTTCCTAAGAATGCCACTTATCAGACGCTGCTCACTTCAGTACAAGCTCCATGTAATATTGTGCTTCCGCACATCAGGGATTGTTTGGATATTCCAAGTTGAAGCTCCACTACCTAGCGGTGAATTTTTTAATGAATACGCTTTCCTCAAGCTACATCTGTAGGAAGGGGGCTATACCAGTGTCGTAATTCGTTTCGATCGGAGATGCCTGCCAAGATACTCCAACAGATTAGTATCTTTTATCTAAGTTTGGTATTCGCGTATAAAGCACATATCTTGACAATTAACGCTAACTGTCACGGGCGAGGATGTATTCCATACGATATGTCATGAAGCGTTGCAGTCGCACTTACATCTTATAATTGGCAGAGCTAAATTACAGACTATAAGGCTCAATCATCGGACTTGTTGGCAACCTTTACAACTGTTGCGATTGCTGCAGTGAGGCTACCAATCTTTATGTAGAATTTGTCTCACCACCAACGTTCGCTTATCATACTCTACGGCTTCGCCTCAATCAATCTGTCCACAATCTACCTCACCTCTGTCTTGGCTGCCAACGTTTTTTCGTGGCTGAAGCCCCGGTCACAACAACGAGATGGTCTCCAAATTTTTTATGGTAGTTGTCAATTTAGTCCATGCAGATGGCTAGAGCTGCGCTATCTTTGGCGGGGACAACACGGGCATGTTCTGCAACATTTTGTACACTTCGGTGCTGTACCAGGTGAGTTTAAACTTTCGAATTCGGCCAGCGGAACTCGAGGTTCTTTTCGCGCTCAGATACAATGCCAGCAGCCCACGAATTCAGTGCTTAGTCAGGATATCAAGGGTGCCGATGTGACCCTGTCCACACTTCCCTCCGACACCGGCAAAGACTACACGATGCTCTTTTGACTTCTACATCGGGCCCACCTCCAATACGACAAACAACGCTATACCCATGTCACTTGCCCAAAATTCATATTAAAAAGACACGGGAGTTCAGCAACTTCCGTGCCCAAATCGCCTTCCTGACGTTCGGTCTTGAGGTTATGGACAGCGGCAACGACCACACGGACTATGCCATGACCATTTGCCATGACGGTCTTTCCACAACTGCTTGTTGGAATGTTAAAAGTCCCTCATTCGCTCAAGTATTGGCTGGAATCTCGCTGAATCGCTTGAGAATCCGGCATAACATCGACAGGTGAACTGGAAGTTGAGGGGAAGTACTTGAAGGGTTTGCGCTTTTGTAATGGCCAAGAGTCAACCATGCGTGCATTGTATGCAGCTAGCGTGGACGTGTACATCATCAGTGCGACTCACAACTTTTTGCTGCTGAAGCTGGCAATCTCTTCAGACTTGGCAGCACGATACCAAACGACAACGTGTACGCTTTGCAACGAAAGACGTGGGTCTCTTTACTAGAAAATTGGTGAGAAGTTATCCGGTCACTTGAGTTTTTGAAATGGTGAGGATTTCTTTAGTATCCTCCAGCATAATCACAACGGCACAGCTCCGATTTTTGCGTCCGGCGACGCCACTGGTGACTGTGAAATGCTCAGCACTGTTCGCAATGGTATCGTTCACACGGACAACCGTCTAAAGAAAAGCTCGTCATGCATCAATGGATTCTACGAGAGAGCCTGAAGAACTTTGGTGCCACCGAGCCAATCACAAACAATACGTATCTGCTGCAAAGCCACGATCAAAGATTTGGGACGTGGATCACGTCAGGGTTCAGTACGAAAGACGGTGCCACGTTTGAGTCTGCAGTTGTGTCTGATAGTGGGTGCGCTCACTATTACTTTCTCGATGCAACCACGCTATACGATTGTTACTCCCGCTTGAGGTTTCACAAATGGTGTTCATAAACTGCTGATCATAGTGGTGGCGAGTAGCTCATGAGATTATTCGTTTGGGGGAACATCGGCGTGAAATTGATGGAGGGCTGAAGGATTTAACGAGCCTACCCACCGAAGAAGAAATGATTGAGTGGATCGGTCGGTGCTTTGCGCACGCAAAGTCGCGGTTTTGCGCTGTATGAGCACGGATGCTTCTAATCAAGCCGTTGTAAATTTACAGCAGATTTTCCCATTGTTGGCGTGACAATTGTCGTTTCGGACTTCTGGTTCAACATTTTTGACGAGAAATGCGTCCAATTGGTTACGCACGTTCGATGAGATTCATCAATCTCATTTCTTCTCCCGGAATTGGTCGGCGCTTTGTGAGTCTCTTGCCTTTTTAGCGGCAGCTCGGGATTCCAGCATTGGTATGTTCAGCCCATTGGTGACTCGGAAGCGCTTGTTTATATTGCCACGTGATAGTTATACGGAAGTTTTCGATCTTCTCGTTATTGATCGAGAAACGTGAGTTTTGGTAACCTCCCCCCTCCACAGCGCAACTACCTCACCTACCAGGTGTTTATTTTCGCTACATGTTACTTCTCAAGTATGATGCTGAAATTCTCATCATGAAGACAGGTTGTATGTATTTGTTATTACGATGTCGATGCCTTTGATCTATTACTGTATGCCAGCATTCCATGAACAACTTCATTCTCCGAAATCGTGCGCAGTAGCTGAGCAGTGGCAAGACTAGTTGATATTATGACATCGCGCCACTCAGTCGACTGTTGGCCATCATACATAGAAAGTAGTTCTGCAACGCGATCATGTGCATGTCGAACATTCTCCTGCAGTTCCTGAACATGTGCTTCGTCTGAACTAACGCGCAACGTTGACAAGTCTTCGTTGTCTTCTTCTATTGCAGCTGTCTTACCCTCAGCTGCATATAATGAACGCTTCAAAGTAAGCGCGGACGCGGCCTCGGAGATTGCGGCTTCTTCGGCAAAAGAAGCTGCCTTCTTGGTTAGCGTACACAAGTGAGTAGCTATGAATGCCGCTCGCCACGCATCACACGCACTCTCTCCAAGAGCTGATTTAGTCTCAGTTCCAGTAACGCTTGTAACCTCACGGGAAGTCGTCAACCAATCGAAACGGTCACGTAGACCCACCATTGCGGCACGTACGTCGGCTATACGCTTAGTATTGCGCGTGAAAGCCCGAACATCCTTGTCTGTCCACGCGTAAACGTCGTGAGATCGGATTGGCGTGGCAAAGACAAGTGGCTTCGCCATCACAAGGTCAGGAGATGGAATCAGTTTAGTCGCCTCCTTCTTTGATGTCGATGCATGATTCACCAATGTCACCGTAGAAGGACGTCGAAATCCACCCACAGCAGAAAATTGCATTCTTGACCTTTGACTCTTTTTGTGTTTAACAGATTCGCTGTTAGTAGCATCATGTAATTTTTTTTCGTTGAGCTCGGCTCTGTCTGGAAAAGAGTATTGAGTATCATTCTCTTGCAAACTCTCTGCGTAGTCACCTGAAAAGCTCTCAGGAAGATCAACAGGCGATTCGTGCTCCCGATCAAAGTAGTTTGTTTCACGGAGTTGGAGAGAAGCCCACCACTTAGCGGGCCGTTTTCGTCGATCCATCCAACGAGCTAACATCATTTTGTAGACCAGATCGACCACCATTCCGAAGCTGCTTTTGATTTTCTTTTCCAGCACACCGATATCTTCAATTTTCATTGATTTAAAACGGGAGGTACCTAACTTTGACTTTCGCCATACATCATGTACGCAAGCTAAATGATATCCAATCTCAGTGAGTACATCTTTGCGTGGTATTCGTCTGATGTGGTGCTTTGGCAGATCTTTACCTGAAAATTGAGGCAGGAATTCATGTTTTCTCTCTCGACGATCAAATCCAAGATTTTCAATCCGTTGCTTGTCTCGGTATTGTCTCCATTGATCAAGGTACGCCAGTAATTCGGGTGTCCACTCGTAAGTTTCCATCGTCAAATAGTCTTCTGCATTGGCACTAGCACGACATAACCTCAATCGTGATCTCAACTTTGCACTGTCACTAAGAATTCCAATTGCAGCCTTTTCCGATATGATCCCAGCATGTACATTCGTGTCATCACGTCCCATCGTTATTGCGTACAATTGCAAAATCAAGCCATGAAAGTGTCTTGTAGCTCTTCTCACAAAAGTAAGTGTTGTTCGTAATTGGTTCCATCCATACTGGACTCTCACAAATGAGTCGGTTTCGTTCAACAGCGCAAAGGATCTTCTCTTCAATTCTTGAACATACGGCGCCATGGTCGCTGAGATTGCCGTCACTTTCTCCGATGCTGTCAGTTCCCATTTTTGTGCATCCAGATATTCCGGTGGTGGTTGATAAAGAACTTGCAGATAAACGAATGAGTTTGTTTCTTTCAATGTCTTTAGTACCTCATGCATTGCAGTCTTCAATGACTTCAACTCGCCATTTTTTGGGATCAAATTCTCCACTTGATGATATATTTTCCATAAGACCATAGGAATCCATTGATGATTCATTGGCAGTTCTTGCTGTTCCTCTATCACTTGTCGACGTGTGGCTACAATTAAAGATGCCTTTTTCATGAGACGAGGCAGTTCACAAACAATCTGGTGTGTACGTAATGATACAGGCCTTTTTATGTGTAACACTTTCGTCAAAAACTTGTCCATCTGTTTTCGCAGAATGTGCTCTGATGTTTTTTCTTTGTCCATTTGTGTACCAAAAAGAGTCTGAAAATGGGTCAGTTGCTCAATTGCCATCTGTAATCGACCCAATTCATCTGCACGGGCTTTTTGGGCTTGAAAACGTTGCAATTGATGGCTAAGCGCACGCTGATTGGACAAAAAAGCGTCGGTTACCTTGGCACATTGTTGTAGATTTTGAGCCACTAAACGCTGTATAAAAGCTTCGGGATCACGTTTTCTACGGAATAGACGATCATCATTTGTAAATCAGTTATTAAATACTGTGTTAAGAGTAAAATAAAGTGGGATAACCTCTTCTTGTGGTGCGTTGGCAATGCCATGATGTGCTTGATGGGGTACGGATAAAGGTAACCTAGTTACGTTTTGTGTAAAAATGATGTGTCGGTTGGTAAAGTATCGGTAAATTAAAAAAAGTGTAAGTGGAGGTTACAGCAGTAAACGCTTACTTTACAAAGAGTTATATTAAGCAGGCCCTGTTTTAACAATTCTAACTAGTAAAAAAAAAACCTTTTCCTGCACACGTAATATACATATACTGTATATTAAAAACAAAGAATTTTGAATGCATAAGTTTGGAATAACGTGACCGTAATATTTTTCTAAGGTCATAGGCAATATATTCTGTTAACTGCGCTTCTACTGCATTAATTTGAATAGTCCAGGTATGTAAGGTCATTTTCTAACACAACAACAATGCAGCCCCTACGATTATTTTTTCATCATTAGCATTTAACTTTATATCGCATAACATTATTTTTCGAGAATATACAAATCGTTTTCTTAACTGCCTTTTATGTTAAACAATAAACATATTCGAAACGCTAATAGTTAATAATAACTACCATTCTTGTCACTCTCAAAACAGTGACTATTTTTTCATTACCAAATCGGGATGGCAGACAGCCCGTCATCAGCAAAGAAGAGTACGAAAACACACGATCTATCGCCTATTCAGGTCTCTTTTACTCTTCCGAATCCCCAATCTCTGCAAAATCACGATGAAAATGAACGTCTTGCGGTGGAATATGAAAAGATTGAAATGGATCGTGTACGTCTCGAAATGGAAAAGGAAAACCACCTTATGAAAAAGGAAAAACATCGGATAAAACAGAAACTTCGACAGGCAAAACTACAGAAACTACGGGCAGAGACGGCACTTGTAAAGGCATCAGTAGCATCAACTAAACTCAGTACATTTGAACGATTAGCAAAACTTGGATTGCCACATGAAAGAGTATTAAATATTTACGATACATTCGAAGCAGTTGAGGACGAGGAGACGTAAATTTTATAAAACAAAATTAGACCGTGTGTTAAAGAGTATTGCTGACAAATTATATACATTAAGAAGCGAGACGTGACGACGAGACAATGGACTCGTTATTTTTACAGTGTTCACGACATGAAAGGGTGACCAGGCTTGCTTTTATGAAGAGCGAGGCATACTCTTCATGTCATGCTTAATCTTTCAGTATTGTGCTACTTGCGCTTGACATATTATCGAGGTTTATAGGCAAAATTTATTAGCGTGTGCTTAATCATAATCATGTGCAGTGTACGAAATTTATAATAAAAAACATAAGTTTATACTAGCTAAATTGTATTGCGAATATTAGGCTTATTAAGATTCTATTTAAGTAGCTGCTATTTTTGGGTCGTCGAACAATGCTTGACTAAGTGATTAGTCATATGTATGAAACGGCGTTGGCAAAATTAAGGGATAAATTGCGTCATAGTTACAATTAGGCATCCTCACTACCTCGATCGCATCGAAATGTTCAATATTCTTTCGTCAGGCAATTCAATTGTCAGTAACCGCTAAAATGTGCTATTCATCTGTGCATTTGTGCCTCATGATCGACTTTTTCGCCTGTAGTGCTGCACCTTATAACTTTTTTGCCAGGTACCTTTGTCATTTTCGTGCCCATGTCGTTGAAAATTGCTTGGTTAATTTCTAAATAATAGCAATGCTCAGCCGTGTTGCTAGCTATGCCACTGGATTTAGTAAACGTTGCTCAAAGATCGAAAAAAGTGCTTTGCGTGCCTTCGACAAGTATAAGGTGTTTACTTAAGAAGAAGGTTGTAGCAAGCTTATATCTTTGTTAAGTACCACATGATCCGCCTCTTATACAGCTCGCCATTGTAAGGTGCACCGTGACCTATACGAGCTAAACCTGTGGATAAAGATAAACCAGTAAGGTTAGGGTTTTTGAGTTTAGGCTTATGTATCACTTAAAACGGTTTTGCGTCATATGAAAACTTATACGCGTGTAATTGAAATGAAAATAGTCAGGACTATAAGTGTATAATCATTTTATTTTTATGTATGCAAAGATAAATGAACGACCGTGCCATAGTATGGAACAGTTCATGAGATAATGCAGCGTACGACACCAACAAGGAATATATTGATCCTCACTAAAGGCAATGTTGTGATACTGGAGCTACAGAATATACGGCTTTTTATCGAATATTAGGATTAATTAATTCACTAAATAAGGGTAGGTAAACATAAGTAAAATTAGTTTTGAGGGGTGAATCTGGGGCGTTTTAGAGGTTTTATTCATCAATAAATGCAGCATATCTGGAACTGTCGACACAACTCGCTCAGCATCATACAATCTGATCCCTATGCCATTCCATGCTTCATCATAGGAAATTAAATTTAAGAGACTCAATCCGTTGTCCCCCGAAATCAACAGATATAGTTTTTTTTCTCAACGGCATTTATCTCTTCTAACCCGATATATATCATTTTTTACAGGTTATCAAAACATGCAATCCTACCCATCTGGGCTGTCGCAACATTTCTACACCAAATAGCCTAAAAAAGTCTTCAGTTTCGTTCTCCTCCGTACCCAATTCCTTAAAAACTAATCCCACATTTGGTCATTTGCGTCCACAAGCTCAAGCCATTCCTTCCTTTCTCTAAATGTCTCAATCATCGGATGAAAATGGCGGGACACTTACTGCTCCTTATTCTCTATTACAACCCTTTCTCATATCATCTTCTTCAGTAGATGCAATGGAACCCGATAGTATTTTGGGTACTGCAATTGTTCATACGCAAGTGATTGAGAGGGAAGAACTGAGTCCAAAACCTCACGTAAAAAACCTAAAAAAAGAACCCAAAATGGAATATCGGTCAATTTATTTGAATGCGTGGGATAAAAATGCGGAAATGGGCTATTGTAGTAATTTGGTCATCACCAGTCGATTTACCGTGTTTAATTTTCTACCGAAATTACTATTTTATGAATTTAGTAAATTGGCCAATGCCTATTTTCTTATTATTTCCATTATGCAAACAATTAAACCCATTTCCAATACCGGTGGTTTTCCAGCTTCATTACCAGCGTTGTCCATTATTGTCCTTATTGACATGTTTTTTGCATGTTTAGAAGACTATAAACGACATGAAGCTGATTCAATTGCCAATAATTTATTGTGCCAGAAATATCACGAAGAAGCACGGAAATTTGAATTCACGAAATGGCATTTATTACAAGTGGGAGATATTGTAAAAGTGGGGAATCGAGACCCTGTGCCAGCAGATTTGATTATTCTTGGAGCTTTTGAACCAGATCCAATGAATCCAGTTGGAATTTGTTATGTCGAGACCAAATCGTTGGATGGAGAGACAAATTTGAAACTTCGACAGGGACTAGAAGCAACGTATACGACGTTGTTGAATGATGCAGCAGTCGGTGACATTAAGGGCACAGTAGTGTGTGAAGTGCCAAATAATTCAATCCATCGGTTTAGTGGATCCATGACATTGGAAGGAGGAAAAAAGGAGGTTATTACGACCAATTCGATTGTATTACGGGGCTCCATGCTGCGTAATACAGAGTATATTTACGGTCTGGTAGTGAATACGGGTCCGGATACAAAAATTATGATGGCTTCATCATCTGAGCCAATGAAGTGGAGCAATATGGAAAGACGTCTTAATCGACAGATTCTATATATTTGTGTGCTCATGGTGGTACTGTGTCTTGCGGGTACGATTTTGTCAACGGTTTGGAATCATCAAAATTTGAAAATTGATCCGCAGAAAGGAGCGTGGTATTTGTATGATGGAGACTCGATGGCTGTCAAGTCGCCGGTCGGAAACTTTTTCATTATGGTGCTGTACTACTTTTTGTTACTGAACTCGTTCATTCCCGTGTCGTTGTACGTAAGTATGACGTCGGTAAAATTTATGCAGTCGTTTTTCATGAACAACGATCTGGAAATGTACCATGAAGAGACGGACACGCCGTGCCAAGTACGCACGATGTCTTTGAATGAGGAGCTTGGCCAGATTGACTACATCTTCTCGGACAAGACGGGCACATTGACGTGCAATATCATGGAGTTTCGCAAGTGTTCCATTAACGGGGTGGCATATGGGCTAGGGGAGACAGAGGTAGGTATTGCGGCGAGAAAGCGTCAGCAGGAAGAGGCACCCACAGCGTCCTCCTTCTACGCTGTAACTCCTGATGGCGGTTGTGCAATTTCACTAAAGAAAGATGGCAACAATGCAACAGATCGTGTGGTGAAGGCACCGTTTGTGAACTACCAGGACGATTCACTCTTTGATGCGATGGCACAAAATAATAGTGTCCAGGCAAAGGCCATCGAGTCGTTTTTCGAGCACTTGGCTGTTTGCCACACGGTGATGCCAGAAAAGGCCCCAGACAATAGTCTCCGCTTGAGTGCATCTTCTCCTGATGAGCAAGCATTGGTTGCTGCGGCTGCTTGCTTCGGTTACAAGTTTGTCGCACGTGGGCCCGGTAAGGCAATGGTGGAGTATTTTTCTTGTATCGACCATCCTGAAGACATGACCTGCAATCAGCCAGTTGCAGGACACCGTGTGGGTGCTTACAAGATCCTCGAAGTTCTCGAGTTCAACAGCACGCGTAAACGCATGTCGGTCATTCTCAAGGGGCCAAGCGGAGATCTAAAGCTTTTATGTAAGGGAGCAGACACTGTGATGTACGAGCGCCTGAGACCAACCAATGACCCGGCTGTCAAGCAGACGCGTAATTTGACGCTACAACATATGGAACAATTCGCTTCTGAGGGATTACGAACTCTAGTGATTGGTTCCACGGACATTGATTCACACTTCTTTGAGTCGTGGGTAATCCGATATCGTGCAGCAATTAATGATATGCGTCAAATTGATCTGCGTCGCAATGGTGAGGACAATGACATTGACCGGCTAATGGAGAAAATCGAGGTAAATCTGGACATTTTGGGCGCTACAGCTATTGAGGATCGACTGCAGGCTGATGTTCCCGACACAATTTACAAGTTGCGTCAGGCATCGATCAAAATTTGGATGCTTACTGGTGACAAGGAGGAGACAGCAATAAATATTGGCTTTGCTTGCCGGCTATTGGCTTCAGACATTGAACGAGTTGTAATTTCGGCGGATACGCACTCTGACTTGGCTGCTATCACGGGCGAGCTGGAAGCGTATGCTCACAAGGAAGACAGTGGAGAGACGCCTGCGTCAACACCAGATGGGGCGCCAAATGCTTCGTTGATTCATTCAGAGTCAAGAGGAAGCTTGGTTTCACTCAGAAACCAAAACAAAAGGCTGACCCGTATCGAAAGTATGGCCGAGATGCCTCAGCAGGACTTGGCTTTGGTAATTGATGGTGAAACACTAGAGCTGGCGCTGGAAGAGTGTCCTGAACTATTTTTGAAGGTCGCGGAGAAGTGTGTAGCCGTGATTGCTTGTCGTGTGTCGCCTGCACAGAAGGCACAGCTCGTACGGCTGGTTCGTGATAACAACCCGAAAATCCGAACGTTGGCTATTGGTGATGGTGCTAATGATGTTTCGATGATTCAAGCGGCGCACGTAGGTGTTGGTATCTCTGGCCAGGAAGGTATGCAAGCAGCCAATTCATCGGACTATGCCATTGCTCAATTTAAGTTTTTGTCGCGACTGCTACTTGTCCATGGACGCTGGAATTACGTCCGCATGGGCAAGCTTATCCTGTACATTTTCTACAAGAACGTGATACTGAACCTGACGCAGTTTTGGTACATGATCTATACTGGCTACTCAGGGCAGAAGTTTTTCCTTGAATGGGGACTGCAGGGATACAATTTGCTCTTTACATCTTTGCCAATCATACTGGTAAGTACTTTCGAACAGGACGTACCCGCTTGCTTGGCACACAACTACCCGCTGCTGTACCGAATTGGTCAAGAGAACACGAGGTTCAACACAAAGGTCGTGTGGGCTTGGATTTCGTCGTGTATGTGGGAGTCGCTTGTTATCTGTTTTGGCATTGTATACGGCATGTGTTTCTTGGTTACGGGAGGTGATACTCCAGCGATGTGGGTGTACGGCTGTACTTCGTTCACGGTCGTTCTGATTGTGGTGACGCTGAAGTTATGTTTGCACCAGCAGATGTGGTGGCCCATGCACATTGCCATCTACATTTTGTCGTTCTTGCTCTGGATCTGCACGGCAGCCTTCATTTCGAGTGGCGGTCCCGTGAGCTCATCATACTGGAATGGGACTTTTTCACACACCTTTCGCATTGACGCGTTTTGGCTGGTCGTCCCGTTGGTTGTCGTTACCGCGTTGTCGCGCGACTTTATGTGGAAGGGCTACATGCGGATGGTCAGGCCGTCGTACAAACACTTGGCGCAGGAGGTGAACGCGTATGGGCTCACACACATTGCCGATAAGTTGCTCACGTTTCCGCCGGCAGAAAAGATCCCTGAGAATGCATTTGGTAGCGAGGCTGGCCGCGTCGACGGGTCTGTCTTGACGTCAAGCTTGGCGGATGTAAGCGTCGCCAAGCCGATTGCTCCTGCTGTGATAATGGCGCCTCGTCCGTTAATCGGCCGTCTTGACAATCGCCGCTCAGCGACAAGAGGTAGTGCTTTCAGCTACGACGCAGAGAGTGTCATGGTGGAGTCTTTCATGTCTACCGACAGGTTCGACCGCAGCTCGAAAAAGACGAAGCCGATCTTTGAACGCCACGCGAGTCGCGGCTCTTTGGCTTTTCAGCGTCTCCCGTTGGACTCTGACACTGATATACACGAAGAGGAGAACGAGCATACGCACACGGAGGCTGCAGATACAGACACACAAAATGCGTCTCGTTCACAGAGGCAGTCGGCAGGGAATGTTTTTCGGGGTGGACGTCATGGTCGAGGACGCTTTTTTTCCGTCTCGGGTGTGTCACGTAGCTCGGATGCAAACACGGTGGGGTCAGGCCAACGTGTACGCAGTCGGATATCAACCGACAGGATATCTGGTGTGCATGAATTTGGCACTGGCAATCGTCCTTCATCAGCGCGCCGAGCTTTAGGCTTTGAAAACCGTACCATGTCTACCGATGACGCTCAGGATCTTGCTGACAGGGACAGTTCTCTTTTGCTGCGTTCTCCTCTTGTTCGACGGCATCAGGGACGCACTAGGATGTCAAACTTGTGAAGAAAACAACAATAAAGTGATGATGAAAGATGTGTGTATTCATAAGAAAAATGGCAACAACGAGTAACAGGAACACGAAATCAAACACACGTTTGAACTAGATCAAGTGTCGTTGCCATGCTTGACAGATTGTTGTCTCCCAAACAATTAGAGACTAGCTGCGACTTCGGCTGCTCCGACTCCGACTGAGACTACGACGTCTTCGTCCACGACTTGAGCTCCGGCTTTGGCTCCGACTGCGGCTACTAAAGCTTCGGCTTCTGCTGCGACTTTGAGTCCGACTGCGACTACGTCCTCGGATCCGACTGCGACTCCGACTTCGACTTCTGCTTCGACTTCTGCTCCGACTTAAGCTCCGACGACGTCGAAATGGACTTGGAGATCGTCGTCGTCCTCCTCGAAAAAGAGGTAATGGACTACGTCGTCCACTTCGAAAAGGAGACGGTGCACGTCGACGAAAAGCCGGTGAACGGGACCGACCTCCACGTCGATTGGTATTAAAACTCCGACTCCGACTTCGACCACGGAACGGAGACGGTGCAAAACGTCGTCCACGTCCATTACGTAGTGGAGACCGATTACGATTACGTAATATTGGCGACCGTAATCGTCTGTTACGTCGATTGCGACCTTTCGGAGACAATGACGAACGTGTCGTGATGGCACGTGGAGTCGTAGTACGACGGATATCAGATGGTTCAGTTAGAGAAACATCTGGTATCACACGCAATTTATTGCCATCCAACCATCCATCGTGCATATGTTCTTTGGCATTATCTGCATCTTTTTGAGTAGCTAAGACTACCACAGCACTGGCTTTTCCTCGTGGAATTGTCATGTTGACACACACAACAAGACCAAATTTGCCAAAAATTTCACGTAAATGATCGGCATTGACATTACGTGTGAGGTTTTCAACACGTAATGTCACCGATTCGAAGGCAATTTTTTTGGTTTGTGGTGATTTTTCGACTAAAATGTCAGAAAATGGATACTTTTTAGATCAAAAATATAAGGGGATTTTTTAGTTTAAAGATGAAAAAAAAACGTACGGGAGATGGAACGAGAACGAGAACGAGAGTGTGAGATGGAATCTTTGCGTTCAGTGCGACTAGGAGAAGAATGATGAGGTGTTGAACGCGTCGAGGAACGTGAACGTGAACGCGAAGGCGAGAGACGCGGAGAAACCATAGCCACGGATTTTTGAAAATAGCTTTTAGAGGATTAAATGAAAATGTGGTACACATGAAGAGGATATTATTTAGCTTGCAAATAGTATATTGCAATGAAATGGGTACATTTATACTGGATTTGTTTTACTGTATCAACTTGTCATGCTTATTGTATCACTTTGCCATGTTGAAAGGTCTGAGCAAAGATCTGACAGGTTCATCTGATATTTGCCCACAAAGCCAAAGAGCTGCGAAAATTACATGCAGCCTCTTATTTGTTGCCGGGGGAAGATATTTTACTTGCGTTTGAATCTGCAAAGAAAGAATTCGCCTTTACAAATGAATCGTTCATATTGATACGGGGAGAAAGTGCTACAACGACTCGGAAACTGGTGCAGCGATATTCGTATCAAGAGTGTCTCATCTCCAAGATACAGTTCGAAACAACAGGTCGGATGGACCGAGATTGTGAGGTTTCCTTTAATATCGGTGACAAGAATGTATCAATTACTATCACGTGGAAGGAAGAAGAATGTGGTAAAGGGGTTTATAAGATGTTGCTTCGACTTGCAAGGGAGCAAAATGCTCGTTCTTGGAGCTGGAAACAAGCTCAAAAGTGTTTGGACAAAGCGGCTAATAAGTTGTCAATCAAAACGGGTGACGGTCTTGTGTCACAAGCGACAACGGCGGTTGCATGGCTTGAACATGCCTTTACCGAACGTAATCAACGCTGTTACCGTGAGGTTATAACTAGTGCCATGGCTGAGACAATTGTCAAGAGCAACATGTAACTGCCAGAAACGACTTAAATAGCAAGTTGCCGTTGCTTATAAAAGGTGTTGTAGTTGTTGAATGAACGCTTGAACATTGCCGCTTCCATTTTGCTTTCACTTTGGTTGCCGTATGGTAGTTGCTGAATGAAGGGGTTTCCTTGACCTGATATCGATCAAAATTGAAAGCGGTTTCCCCTAATTTCCGCTTTTATTTTGCATTCCGCACTACTGTTTCATACGGTAGTTGTCGAATGAAGGGTTTCTTTTTACCTGATAGTGACTCAAATTGAGAGCGGTTTCCTCATTTCCGCTTTCACTTTGGATTCCGCACTGGAATGGGTAACACCAATTCAGCGATCAAGGGCTTAGTATCGGACTTTGCAGGCACGTCCGACACCTGTGAGGTAGTTGCAGACGTCTCTCGTACCTGGGCGTCATCATATTTACTACCAGAAGAAGAAATCTTGTTCGCGCTACAATCAATTCGTCACGAATTTTCCTTTACCGGCCGCGCTCTCATTAAATTAAGTGCAAAAACGTCCACCACGACACGTAAACGAGTAGAAAGATTGGAGTATAAAAAGTACCAAGTAAAACACGTTATGTTCGAGTCCACGGGCGTCGTGGATCGTGACTGTAAGCTCCAATTTCAGATTGGAGATGAAGAGTTCACGCTCAAAGTCCTTAATGGCAAAGAAGAAAAAGTCATGAGATTCTATAAAGCCCTAATACTATTAGGACAACAACAAGAAGAAAAGGAACAAGAGTGGGAACTAGTTAAACAGGCTCTAGCGACGGCTAAAGATACCGTACGTCTTTTAAATGCCGGCAGCCACAGTCTGAACCAACAATCAGATGAGACGTTGAAATGGATAAAGATTCAGTACGAGTTCACTCATCCACACTGCTACAAGGCACTTATTAAGCGTGCTCTTGCAGCGCGTAGAAAGCCAAAGAAGGCAGGTCCCCTGCTTCCGTGGAAATGGTAGTGACATGTAAGAGAATTTTGATTTGAAAGTGCTGGAAGGGGAAATGACTTATTGTGTCATCACCTTCGTGCTCTCCGCTATTTCATAAGCTGTAGCTGCTTTCACATTGGGCTTTATTCAAGTCACACGAGGCAATCTTTCTTTCTACTTGCGGTACAACTTTGAATGATGGCGTTCGCTTATTTTTGAGCTTTTTTTCGCTATGAATTTTTCGCAATCTCTGTACGGATGGTTGTGCAATGGACATCGATAGAACACTGTGGGCTGAGCGCTATAGTGGGGTTATGGCTTGTCATTTACTCATGACTTTGTCGTCGTTTTGGTCTTCACAAAAAGACTGCGGATTTCCCCCTATTATGTGGGATAAAGTGCAACAAAACAATTGGTTCAAGAACGACTCAATCCTGTTTGTGGCATCTCATTCACTCTCTATGGTACATGACGTCCTTATACGACTGCAGACATCGCAGCGAATATGAAATGAAATTTTGTACGACCTAGTGCAGCACTCAGCGTGGTGCTCTGATTTCTCACTAAGCATACTATGGAAATTGCGACACTTTCAAGCACAAGCAATAACGCCAGCATGTCAGGTGGCTCCGTTTGTACGTTCATCGTAGGCAAGATTTCAAAGGGAGCTTACTCCGTAATATGCCGCTGAAAGCCTCGAGATGGTGGAGTTCCTTGTTGTTTACCATTGATAAGAATGCATTCAGGTTGTTGATATCTTCACATACGGAAGAGGACACATATTAGCGAGCTCTTGTTGAATCTGCATCGGACTTAGACCCAACTCTATTGGCGCTACCTACTGAGAATGTCACATTCTTGATGAGCAAATTGTCAGATTGTCAATCTACGTATAGCGATTTACAAGATTGGCACGAAGCAGTAAAGATGACGAACAAGTGTTGCTGGGTTTTCGAGTGATATAGAGTTTGTCCATGAAAAGACTCGCTGTAGTGCTGATATCCGACGGAGTTACGAGGAAGTATAGCTGGAGCGGCAGCAACATTCTCTCGCTTGACCAACGCGGTTGCCCCGATGATTTGTAATGTGGTGTGGTCCATATCCATTTTCATGCTGGACGATATATTAGATGTCTTGACGATATTTGCGATCATTTTCAATTACAAAACCTTGCGTAGTGGCTTTCAGGAATTTGGCAAACGCTTGCTTAACTGATCGGAAGCATCATCACAACTAGTCGTACATGACGGAGTTTGTGGTGTCGCATGAACACAATCGGGGCCACGATATAGCTATCACTTTGTGTTAACACCACCGACACGCTATTGTACCAATACTTACAAGGTTTTTTTGCATTGCCGACAAGAACTATCGCCGTCGTGGTTGGCCCAATCGGGTATGACAAGTCAAGTCTATTTGCGCTGTTTGGAAGAATGCAGCAACAATCCGTGGCAGGCGAGTCGATAGGCGTGAATTCAGAACCCGACTGTGCGCGATACATTTCGATATGGTTTACGATGTACAGCACTATCACGTGTAGTGAGAACACTTCCCAATTCGAGCCTTCGAGCAACAACGGCCAAGAGACGAAGACCTTCAAAGAGCCGGTCAACCGGCCCCCTCCGACCAGGGCGGGAAGTCCCTCCAACGGGAGGCCCAGGATAAGAGGGGGGAGGTTTTCCCTCTGCTGCGTGCGCTATGGGGGGCAAGCGCAGCGTGCGAACCGTAAGGGGAGCACCAACCCTGTTACCCCCGGGGGGAGAGGATCGATGACCGCGGTTATCATTCCCTCTTTCCCCAATAGTTCCTGCTATTCTACGTCAGCCTTCAAGCCGCCGATTCGATCGCCGAGCGCGAATCTCGGTCCCACGAAGTGAACTTGCCAAGAACGTGAATTGATCGGCCCCGTCCAGGTGCATCAGCGGTCGATCGGGACTGATCGGTGTGGTGCCCGGCGCTTGTTGCGATCATTGAGCCACTGTTTACACCTCGGGCTGGATACCCGATTCCACGTGCCCTTTTCGGAGTGTCCCCCGTGACGCCCGACGTCTCGAGCCAGCAGATTGAGCCAGCGAGGCGAAGAATGACGAAGTCCTGGTAGAAGCACTCCAGACATCTTACCAATCCTTAATGTTTGAAATAGACGGTCTGTTCTTCTCTCACGTGTAGTGAGAACGTGTCACATGCTGTCAGACTTTTTATGGCTCAAACGAGGCAATCAGACAAAGATTGGCGAGCATGGGATAAGCCGACCAAGTGGCGGCCAAAGATCTCGGACAAGCGTGATATACATGGCGAGCCGCACATGTTGCGAACTTACATGAACTATTTGGCTGTGTCAAAGCGGTTACGTGCTGACAGCAACATATAGTTGATTTTTTTAGTGTCTAAGTTACTGGATTCTTCTGCTTGTGGTGGTCAAAAAGGAGCTGTGGACCTTAGTCGTAAGAATACAATGGCTGTGTACGTCATAACCTTATTTGACGTTCATATGGTGTGGAGATATGCATCAGATGCCCTGGCAAGCTCCATTGCATTACATTCGAGAATTGCTTATGCTCCAGTGACAACATCCTTTGATGTGACTCAGGCAAGCCGGATTCTCAATCTCTTTCTTGCGAGACTTAACTTAATATGACTTGTGAGTTATACTTCACATGTTTTAGGTGGGCTCGGTTATATGGCTGTATGTGCTGCTGCAGTTGCCTATCTTGTACCTTCCTGTGTGATTCGCTTTCATTTGTGGCTGGACAAGACCAGTGCTTTGTGAAGAACAAAAACACTTGGATGGAATCTACATCAGACATATCGAGACGATCCGGGCGAACAGATTGGTGGGCGATCCTCTTCTCGTTTTAAAGAGCTCCTGAACAACAGCATTAATTCTTTATTCTGTTCCAGCCGGCCACTCAGTGGTCTATCTCGCATACAGACTGGCTTAGCTCGGTACTTTATTGCTGCTATTGTGATTCATACAATCGCTACAAAATACAGAATAGGAGCTGCCGCTGCAAGTACCCTGCAGCTCACCTCACGTTTATTTTTCAGTGATGAAAACTGAAGGGATACAAGTGGAGAGTATCATGACGCACTTTGAGCGCATTGTTTATTACAGCGTGTCCGAAGACACAACACGACCACGATAATTTTGGCGAGACATTGCATTACAGACTGTCCGCGTACACTATTATAACGTGCTCGCTGCTCATCGAGACCATCACCTTTTTACTGTCCATTGCGTGTCTCGCGGCGCACTCATTTTCATATTTCTGGGAACATTCTGTTGGCCGCCACCATTCAAGCTTTGCAACTAGCTGTTGCAGTCAAAATTATTAATGAATTGATCATAGTTGCTCCAGAAACAGTTACACAGTGTTGGAAAGACGCCGTAACATATTTTCCCACCGAAAAAAGTCTTTCAAAAGAGCCTTGATCAAGAATGTATGGATTTAAGCGTTGCACTCACTACAAGACCAATGGCTTGCACGTGAAACTTGGATTGTCGTGACACCTTTTTTTTGCCTCACTTTTTGGTTTGAAAGGCGTCAAACTGCTTTTCTAAACGTTGAAATTGATCCTAGAAACAATCAACAGTGGGCCGCAAGCACACTAAGCTTGTCAGATGGACAAGAGGTTATCGTTTTTCTAATAATCGTGGTATGGCGACATTGGATTGATTGCAAAACGTTTATTATTTAGCTCTTATAGACGTCTAGCTCATAGACGTCATGCTTGCAGAGGACGAGTCAGTTCCTGTATACGACACCCCGTATTTGCAAGAACCTGTGGCATCTTCTCTCGCCATTTCCACTGGACTCATGTTCCTAGCTTTTTGCAGACACAGTCCACAAAAATATACATTGCGCCGTTCTAGCTGTAGATCGGAGCCGATAAAAGTCAACTTGCACTGAAATCGGCACGACCGACACACGTACCCTGCACACAACTTGCACGTGCCGCTTCTGCTTTTGCTGTAATCGCCTAATCGCAATTTTGAAATCGGATTCGTGCAAGTGACACAAATATTTGGTCGGTTTGGGGTGCCCAACTCTTTCGCCAACTCGTATCGTTTTGCCAACATCCACGCCAGTTTCTTCATATTACTGCAATGTGCGTACCGGAGTGTTGTGAGGTATCCCGTTGCAATACTAGACATCACAAATGCCTTGATCATGTCACCACCGGGATCTATATAGCCTGATCCGTACACCTCTACAGTGTCAGTACTTACTTGTCGAAAGATACAACAGACTGTTATGTTCGCTCGAATACGACTAGGCAGCTCTTTTGCCTGTGGAAAATTCACCGAGTGGAAGGTCATGATTCCTACACGTTCACCAGTTGACAAACGAACAATCTTTGTGCACTCGAGGTAAACGTAGTCACGATTCTTCACCAGTGATGTCGACGCAAAGGGAAGGTCGAGCTCCATCCACTTGACTGTCATGGACTTGAAGGGCTCTTCGATCGTAGGCACATCGATAGAAGCTAATACTGCCCCTCCACTCATGTCCTCGACATAAGAAGCCTTGATCCGCATTGTCTCGAGTGTCGGATTGACCGCCCCAAACATACAGTCATCGACTGTTCCCCAAGTAGTACCAGTCATCAAGAACTCTGGGTAGTCCATCTTGACGCCATTCTCGGATGTCTGATGAACCGATTCGCGTTCGAGGTACACACGAGTATCACTTTTGTGTTTGATCAGCTTCCACTTCTTTTCATCAACTTTGTGGTCGACTCTCGCAATGAACGCTTCGTACTTTTCAACATTCTGATCGACAAAATTGTAGCCGAATTCTTGGAGACTGTCCTTGTCAGCCTCGGAGATTGAAAGTTTCTCAAACGGGTTGTAGACAAAGCGGCCGTTGCACATGGTTTCGCAATTTAATTACTGAAAGTGATTGCAACGACCCAACAAGTTAGAAAAAGGGATGATACTCCGTAACGGCTAAGATGTCGGTGGCAGGGAGCTATTTGTAGAAAGGTTAACGGATAAGGCCCTACCGCATGTGCTAAAAAAACAGAGGACGAGCAAAGTTTTGTGTCTGAGGACGTTTGTTTGTCTGTCTTCTACGTAATAAGTTACTAGTAAGTATGGAAAATCTCTCTTAGTAATGAGACGACCTTGTTTTCGAACAAATGTTGCGAAGGCTTAGCAAATGAACGTCAACATGTACATGCCTAATACAAAATCTTCAACTATGTAGCTCCTTTTTAAGATTGTTTTTTCGTGATAGCCACCGTAAGACAATGAGCGACGGTTCGAGCAGCTACAATAGACACCTACAAAGGAACAGCACTATCGTCGGGCAGTCGATCATTGAAAGAATGACGATCTGCTCTTGTTAGTAAACATTTGGTAAGCAAACAGATGATTCCATTCTTGTCCGTGTGATACCTAGCTTTTTTCTATTTAAAACTACCAGGTGGTCCTCAAGACGAAACCTCTACAGGTGTATGTCTCTTAACATCACGTTTACCTCGGATCTAATAACCCTATCGTATGAGTTTGTCACAACGTCTCTGATCAAAATCCATTCGTCTTTCATTTATTTGTTTTTTTCCTCGACTTCCTGTCCAACTACAAACCATATGGGGCCTGAGAAAAGTAAAGTGTGGACGTATCAAGTTGGACAAGAATTATATCGTTGTGATGTCGTCCGGTCAGACGATCTTTGTTGAGAGTAAACATATTTGATCTTTGGAGCGCGAATAGCCCATGCAGGTTTCGATATATGGTATCATCCCATGTGTGGGCAGATTCGTGCATAAAAAACTTAAAACAACACCCTTTTTGCGGCAGCTAACGATCCATCATTCACTTTATATGCTCTTTCAATCAGAGGCAACACAACGTTTAGACATTTTTGCATTGTCGGGTCAAAAACTCTTGTTGTTTGTATACATTGCAACAGTGTTGAGCGATGCCCCAAAAAATTCACAATCTAACGGTTAAGAGACTGCGAGTTAACTGAATGAGGGCTATCGCCTACCCCTCAGCTAATTCCTTTATATCATAACCACCCCTTCCATTTACATACATTGTTCCATACATTATCATTTCTATTCAGTATACAAAAAATATGTCTTTTCTTTCCATTTCTTTGTTCTCTATCTTTCATTTTATCAAAACTTAAAAAGTAAAAAAATGGTGAATAAACAAAAAAGTAAATGTCAATTGCGTCTGGAGGCCCGTTCCCGAGCCTGCTGCGCTCCCACCAGCGCCTCCTCGGATCCGCAGCTTCTAGCCGCCGAATTGCAGTCGCGTATTGCACGTGCTAATGATATTCGTGCCATGCACACTCGACAACTAGCAGCTCGAGCTCGTGCGCGAGTCCAACATGCCCAAGAGGTGGCAAGGGGGATGCGCATGAAGCGACATGAAGAGATTAGGGTTTCTCGTCAGTCATCCATTTCGAAAGTGGAAGAGGCGGCACGACGACGCCATCAACAGCTGGTGCAACTGCAACTTCAATGTAAAAAGCGAACCGAGTTGATTACGGAAAAAGTCGAATTGGTGCGCGCGAATCAAAGCGACAGGGCGGACAGAGCACGACGTACACTCGCAGATCAACTAGACGAGGCAACTCGTCGTCGTCACGAACAAACGCAACAACGTGTTCGCCGTCTGATACAACGTTGGCAAAGCGTGGAAAGTGTGAAAGAACGGGCAACAAGGGTGAAATATATCCAGCGGTGGTTCCGTCGCCACGTGGCAAACCGTAAAACGGCAACCGCGCTGCGAAAAGTGCAACAAGATGTGAAAAAAGTGCTTTCTTGCTGGAATCAGATGAAAACGGCAAGTTTTGAAAATTGTATGATTTTGTTGCAACAACGTACAGTGGTACAAGCTGCACAACAGCTGTTAAAGGTCTTGATGGCTGAAGGTTTCGATCACAGAAAAGTAAACATTTTGGGGAAGAAACCTGTAGAAACGGATACCAAAAGGATGCGGCTGGTATCGTCTCAAGGAGGTATGAGTTTTCGGGTTTTGATGATGGCAGGAATGATTACGTGCCATCCTATGGACATTATGGGCCGTAATCCATCCAAGAGACTGCACTATGCTGCTAGTGGGATTCTATCGAGTATGGAGAATTTGATGCGCTGTTTGGAAGCATCAGATGGGTTTGAAAGATCACAGGAACTGACACAAACGGTGGCAGGATTGTCGGCGAGATTCGCTTTTTATACGGAGGCATTTGCCCGTTGGAAGAAACGGGATGCAGAGTGTTTGGCAGCGGAATTATTGACGACATATCGGGAGTTGAGTTTGGTGTACAGGAAGTATGAGATGCAAGCACAGGAAGCGCAAAATGGAGTGGATGGAGTCTATGAACTTTTACGACAGACGCAGGGACAATTGGTGCAAATGCAGATGGCGTTGGAAAAGTTGGTAGGCAGAGATGATGCTAAGCGGAAGGTTGTGGAGCTAGAGCAGAGTTTACGACAGGAAGACGGGGCAGGCAATGCACCAGTGGATGCTGATGATATGTCAGTGAATGTTGAGGGAGATAACAATCCATTGTCGTCTGAGACCACCGCGGTATCGGCGTCGAGACCGGTAAATGTAGGTAAGAGAGGTGATCAGGACAAAAAGGATGACGATATGCGGGGACATGATGTGGCGGATGATAAAGTTTCTGGCGGAGATCCACCGAGTGTCAACCAGGCTCTTCTTGCCGATCCAAAACTTGTACACGAGTTGATTATGAACCCGCATTTCCAGGTCCAAAGAGACAAGGATGCGGAAGTATCGGCTGCAGCTTTAGCGTCAAAGCACTCAGTAGCGGCGATGGCTGTTCGTGTACGTAAAGCCATGACGAAGGCCTTTTGGGACCGCGTGATTGCGGCGAACGATGTCGAGACGCTGCTTGCTCGTACGGAAGAGCTGCGCACGATCTTTAGAGATGCTCTGGCTGGTGGCAGCGGGACTAATTCAGGGATCGCAGTGTCAGCGTTGATAGATCAGGTGGACAGTGCACTTCACTCAGACCAACTTCGGATGCTGATGCAAGATCCCATGAGGAATGTCCGCGCCATTCACGCGCGGTGCAATGGTGTTCTGGACGCCATTGAGAAAGCGGAAGCACCAGCACGAGCTGCCAGCACGCGGGAATTTCGATCCGACTGGGCCAACCGTGTTGCGGCTGGTGTAATGACCCCAGTCCAGTTGCTCGTAGCATTCCTTGCTTTTGCTCTGGATAAGGTTGACGAACTGCGCATTGATGTGCTGAACTCTCATCTCGGTCTCCTGGGCGCATTTCTACAGCAACATGGCGTAGAGTACGAGCAGAAGCAGCTTTACAAACGGATGTCGGAATCTAAAAGTTTGGATGTGACTTTTGCAATGACGCAAAAATGGTTGGGTTTGGAGATGGAAGTCTATCTAGCACGATCAGATGTTGATGAATCAGAGCATGCTTGCCTTTTGCGTCACGAGGGTGGAGCATTTAAGCGTTTTCTGCGCGCAAGTATCTGGGCGCTGGTGGTGAAACATATCGATGGAACTCCCACTCGTGTTTGGCCGGAAACTTTTAAACTGGATGTGGAGCGCATTCGTGCTTGTCGTGATACACTTGATCGCATTGCAGTTGTTTCAAGTCTTCTTGCATTGGTTCAAGACTACGTTGCTCGTCGCAGCCTAGCCACTCCTGCAGGATTCATTCACACTGTTGGCCATCGGCTGAGCGCGCTGTTGCTCTCACCTGGAGTTTCGGGCGCACAGCTTGCTGCCCAAGCTTCCCAGGATGTTCGTCAGTTGGAGAGTTCGGGTGACGAAGATGTCCAACAAGAATTGCAAGCATTGGAGAAGCGTCTGCTCGGATCTTTTGCTGCTGACAATCCCGTATTCAAGCTCTTCTTCTCACGAGCATCTCGCGCTTTCGAAGCTTCATTGCAGCAAGGCAATGCAATGGATGATCTGCATCCATCACTGGCGCCTTTTGCCACGGAGATCAGTGAGACCTCGTCAGTGCTACGACGTCTTGCTCAGCACAATGAAAACGTCTATGCGTCACTGTACAACAAAATTATCAAGCGTCTGGTGCCCTCTCGTATGTAGGAAAGTTTTGAGAGGATTCAGGTTGCTTTGCTGTTAAGTTTTAATGACGTCTTGCCAACCCCATTTGCTGTCGAGTAATTTTTTGTACCCTGTCTTGGCTGTTCTTCTCTCTTACCTTTGCTCTAGGCCGTCCATCTAACTAGAGAGACGTGCACCCTGGACAGCCCCAGCACCCACGCTTGTATCCGTGCTAATGTTGTACAAAAGTTGTGCGAGCCAGCGACTTGTAGTAGCATCTTCCTTCAGAGCCTCATCGAACGTGTGGTTACGTAGAGCTTCTGGCAGACACTGACGAAGAGCTTCTTTAGCACTGTAAACACAACACAAAGAGCATCAAATGAGTGACTACATTCATCTACTAACCCCATATGCAGCTAAAATATCCTACCGTGGATTATCCGATAAACGAAGATAGCAACGAATAATGTGCTTCAGAAGTCGTGGAGCGGGCGTATCCACTAAAATTGCCACCATTTTACTCAATACCGTTCCTACGGCATAGAACCGCTCGGGAGTGTGACAGATATAAGTGAGTCCCATGTCGTCGAGCAGAATTTTCTGCACGATAAATGTAGCCACTGTCTTGGATAATTCACTCCCTGCTTCCATAATCCGGAGACAAAGTGGGATAATTTCCGTCTGTAACAAAAAATTGATGACGTCTGAGTCATCAACCTGATATAACGAAAAGATAAAAAAAGAGTCAGTATCCAAAAAATGGAACCATCACGCTTGTTTTTCTTTTTTTACCTTAACCAGTGCACCAATGACTCCAAGACTTGTCAGACGTAAATACTCAAATGGCCGGTTTTTGCTCACCGTGTTCAAAAACGGATACAAATACAAGGGAATGTGTGCTGGAACACAAAAAGGTTAGATATGGCAAAAAAGTGTGGCTAAAAAATCGTTCCACATTCTGTGTTTTTTTTCACTTAAGACCATCACTCTTCTTTTTTTTAGTTACGCACCATTGAGAAAATGAGTACGAGTTTCCGAATGGGATGCGACACACTGCAAAAGAGCCAGTGCGTTGCAAACTCGGTTAGAGGCATGAGCCGTGAGTTGGGGAGGTGACAAAAGTGGATAAATGGCTACAATTTCCTGTAGTAGCGCAGCCACAGTCCCGAACGAATGCCAGAGAATAGGCGCTAGTTCTGGAAACTCCTCGCGCTTTTTGCTAAGCTCCAACAAGGCGCTTTCACGCTGTTCAGGCGACGACAGTTCAAGCACGAGTGCGTACAATTGCTCCGGGGGATCCATGAACGTTAAATTCGCTTTAGACTCTGAAAAATAATATGCCAACGATTTGTAAAGTAGCAGTAACTCGTGCAACTTCAGCTGATAAGTTATGTACTGAGATGAGTTAACTACCAGCTTCATAATGGGTACATTTTCATCCGTCATGAGGGTACAAGCTGAAAAGGCAAACCCATGTATACATGGATGTATACCGTTCCTCTGCAGGCATCATGCGAATCAAACAACCTCAAAGTGCTCGCATTCTTAGCTTTAATGCAATCGAGTTTGCATACTTCATCATGCCTTTGCTTTCCGGTTGAAAGCGTCGTGACTCAGCACCTGCTCGACAGTCATTCGCTTCTTCGGGTCGCACTGTAGTAGACCATCTAGTAGCTTCAGGGCTCTCTCATCAAGCACGTCTACCATCCTCCACGCTACTAGCACCTCTCGCACGCCGACCTTTTTAAACACTCGGAATGCAGAATCCTCTTCCGTCGCCAGTGGCACCAACGGTGACCCCGTGACGAGGATGAAGAGGATAATGCCCAACGACCACATATCGGCCGCCTTGGGGTCGTACATGACTTTCGGGGCTACTACCTCGGGCGCCATATAATAAGCTTTGCCCACGCTCTCAAAGCACAGCTGATCGGTCCGTGTCGAAAGCCCAAAGTCTCCAATCTTGAACACACCTTGGTTGAGCATGATGTTCTCGAGACTCAAATCTCGATGGGCAAAATTGTGGCTATGCAAGTAAGCAACGCCCTCCGCCACTTGTTTGATGACAGCAAGTGCGTCAACACCGTTGAGTCGTCGGTTTTGGCCTCGGTTCACACTGGCGTACAGGTCCCCACCAGCGCAATATTCCAGCACAAAATACAGCGTGTGACCTTCGACAAAGTCATCCAGGTACTTGACAAGGTGTGGATGCGAAACACGTTGGAAATTGGCAAAAGCCTTTTCTTGTCGGGGGTCGTCGGGCAATTGAAGGTTCGGTTTGTACTGGTCCAGCATGTGAATGGCACGCAATAGCGACACGCATTTAAGCACCACAGGATGCGATTGTATCATTTCGTCATTGCAGAGATAGATACCACCATACGTCGTGTGAGCGAGCTTTCGTACGGGGCGATAGCGGTTGTGAATGAGAGCCATGAGACTGAATGTACCAGGCTTTGGAGTTGATTTTCAACTGCGAGAGATCGAGTCAGATTGAATCTGTTCGTGATGGTGCTGTCTGAAAGTCTTTTGAGGAACGAATGATGGGTTGTCTGTCATACGTTTGAAAAGGTGATCGTAGGAATCGCGTGTAAACATTGATCCATTTCGTTTCATTGTAGAGCTGCACGCTGGTAGTATGGGATAGCGATACTGTTCCGGATTGCAGTGAAAGAATGTTATCGTGAGTTTGCTTTCATTCGACTCGATACACGATCCGACACAGCCACAGCATTGCTAACGGCAAAAGTTGGCATGCCTATATGGTATGCGTTTTGAGCTCGCACTATCATCCTGATGGCCATAACCATAACTGATCCATGACCTCTATGAGGCAGCTAGCGTCAGTCTGAAGGCATTCCTTGTGAGACAAGGACATTACTACATTTTCCCAGAAAAATAGTAACGGTCAACGCTTGAAGGCATGGGGGCGCGTGGAAGAAATAACGCATGTATTGTGGATTTCGACGGCCAACGAGATAGCTTATGTGTTAGCCTTGCACTCAAGTGCTGTATGATTGAAAGGGGCTATAGGTGTACCGACAGCTAAACAAGGCGCTGTCGTACCCATGAATGACGTCTCGCGTCATAACAAATTTTTTAGTACGGCCTTGCAGCATTGTCAGTATAGCTGCTGACGATGTATTAGCCAAAGTTTAACGCTTCCCGACGGAGAAAACTGTAGTTTAACCGTGTGGTCTGCGAAGGAAACGCCTTGAACATGGCTCCAGCTCATGACAAGATGTCAGCTACTTCTTTATGGACATTTCTTGTGAATGAGAGCGGCACCATGCTCTGCGTATTCTGCTTTCGACATCCACATCTCATGAAACGATCCCAACGACGCGAGAATCGAACCACCAAGGAAAGCACCCACACGACGTTCCTGTTGATGCGCAGCAACTACCTTCACGCGCAAACTGTTGGGGAAACCGCTCGATACACCGTTGTTCCCCGATCCTGTCAAGGATAACGGCATGCCGCTCAATCTCGTCACCACTTCACGTTCAATTCGGGTTGGCATATTCTCAAAGCACGAGCTGCCCCCTGTCAGTACAATGTTCTGGAAAAGCTCTTTACGTAACTCCGTCTCTGTCGTAAGTCCTCCCGTCTCACAGATCATCTCCGGGAGTCGCATACCATGACCATCCGCTTTGGAGCTTTTGGTATCAATACTGGCCGTCGCGCTATTCGTAGCAGTCGGCACTATTTCTTTCAAGAAATAATGCTCCGCCACACTAAACCGCTCAGTACCCATTGAGACAATGGTTTTATCAGGCAGCTCATAATTAATCAGTGGCAACTGTGCATTCTGCGCTTCGTCAAAAGGTCCGTCAGCTGCACGACAAAGTCCACTTTCTTTAGCTTCGACGACATAGAACCATGTCTGTTTCTTCCTCTTGGCAATTTCCATATCCATGGACGTTAATAGTGCTTTCTCTTCTAGATTCTTGACAATCTGCGGAGCCAATTTGAGTCTCAAGAAAGCGTCCAAATCATGACCACCAAATAACGCCACTTGACTCTTTGGAAATGCAAAAGCATAACCTTCATGTACTGACGTGACACTAGTATATGTCGCGCCCATTTCCACTACTAGGCCACTGGTCCTAGCATTAGCATAACAAGCTAGGACCGCACTTTTTGCAGCAAAAAGAGCAGGAACACCAAGCTCTTCCATAATTACTTCCACCATCTGTTCTCGAGCTTTAAAGTCCCGTTTCTTCATGCTGCTATGGGCCTGAACTTTTGTCTTGATCTCTGATTTATTGGTACCACTTGAGACATCCTGTTCATCCTGATCCTGTCCTATATCTCCTGTGATCTCTTCGGGTAAAGTAAATGGTCTTTCCACCAATAGAAGCGGATGTTCACTCAGTCTCGTCTGCAACTGTCCACAACTGGCATCAAAAAGCCATTGGGCCATTTTTTCAGGATCACTCTCGACCTGCGCCGACCTACGACTGACTCGTCGGCCTAAATCCTGATCATCCTGCAGGTCTTCGAGGGGCATAGGATGCTCAAATACACGCGGAAAATCCTCGCCTGCATAGCCAAGTTTACATCTTGATGTACCAAATTCAAAGACCAATGCATCCAAATCATTGGCTTCCGTCGCAGCGCTCGAGAATGGCGCATTGCCACCACCATGATGGTCCCCTTCGTTCGCTCCACCTCCAGCGTACATGACAAAGCAAAATCTAGTGTGGTGGACACAAAAGGTTGCTCGTGACAAGTAGTTTTGTCCTGAAATGGACGTTTATCGTACCGAACAAGACATATTATGCGCTCATGACACAGAACTGTGTCGCTTTTTTGTGTATACCACATAAACGCTATGTACTCCACTGATTATTGGCCGTGCACCAACACTCTTCCTCTTACCATCACCACCACAAGTGACCATCATTCTTGCGGAGCATCATGGCATCCCCGCTTAAACAGATCACTCCATCCGACGTGGCCAGTTTTGCATACGATCCTGTAGACCCCTTGGCGCTCGAAGACGCCAAGCTCATTGTCAATGACGTGCGTGTCAAAGGGATCACAGGGCTCATGGAACACGCTGTGAGATTAGGTGACGTGCCTCATGAAAATGTTCCACTTCTTGTGAGCCAATTGGAACTACAAAAAGCATTTGAGACGTTACCTAAGGCCCAGCAACAAGTGTTACACCGAACGGCCGGGCGTATCAAACTGTTCGCGGAGACTCAACGGGCTTCTATTAAAAACATTGAGCAGAAAATCGATGGCGGAGTAGCGGGTCAAGACGTATGTAAACTATTTTGAGGTTTTTTAGATATAACCCAGTTGAAGCAGCAGTGGGACTCATTGGTTTCTTTTTTGTTGTTGGGTGAAATGGATATGGGGTAGGTTTCACCCATGGCTACAGCTGGGTGTTATGCACCGGGTGGGCGATACCCTCTGCCATCCTCTGTGTTAATGACAGCTGTAACGGCTCGCGTAGCTGGTGTAAAGACAGTCGTTGTCTCGTCTCCTCGTCCAGCACCAGCGACACTTGCTGCAGCGTATGTAGCTGGTGCTGATTATTTTCTCGCGGCAGGAGGAGCCCAATCAATTGCTGCAATGGCATACGGTATTGGAGGTATTCCCGTCTGTGACATTATTGTAGGTCCTGGTAACAAATGGGTGACAGCAGCCAAATCGCTTGTTTATGGCAAATGTGCCATTGACATGTTGGCTGGCCCGTCTGAGTGTCTCGTGATTGCAGACGAGACAGCCGATCCTTCAATTATTGCGTCCGACTTGTTGGCCCAAGCAGAACATGATACAGCAGCTGTACCAATTCTTGTAACTACGAGTCAAAAGCTCATTGATACCGTAAATGAAGAGCTTACAAAGCAATTGGAGACATTGCCATCGGCTCCAACAGCTAGTATCAGTGTGAAGAATGGCTTTGCAGTGCTATGTCCTGACATGGCTACATGTGTCAACATGTCTGACGTGTTGGCTCCAGAGCATTTAGAAATCATTACGAGCAATGCACGTGAAGTTGCAGACAAAGTTACAAACTATGGCGGACTTTTCATTGGCGGACGTGCTGCTGAAGTCTTTGGTGACTATGGTGCTGGTCCGAACCATGTGCTTCCGACTGGCGGCACTGCGAAATACACGGGTGGACTCTCGGTGCACACGTTTTTACGTATACGCACGTGGATGCGCATTGACGACGCTGAGGAATCGCAGGCACTTGTAAAGGACTCGGCACTGCTGGCTCGCATGGAGGGCCTCGAAGGCCACGCACGCGCGGCTGAGAAACGTTTGCTGTAGACAAGGGGACAATCAACGAATGAGTGTTTTTGATTCTTCGAACGGTGACATTTACGACAATACAGATACTAGTGCACAAGCTTTTTGTGTATTCATATTATTTTGCTAACTGTGCCTCTGTTCATTTCTCGTAGCTCTGAGGAGTAGTCAGACTACTGCAGTTGTGTGGGAATACGTGCGCTACAGCTGATAACAAGTTGATGTTTTACTGAGTCCAATATGACGACGAAAAAGCCAAATGAAGCCACGTGGAGTAGAGTTGAGAACTTGATATCCATTGCCTCCCTAAGCACAGCCTGCCAAATGCTGAGCCGTCTCCATCTTTTGACGAACATATTTGGAATACTGGGATGTTGCAATAATCGCGTGATGGAGTTCACGTTACCGAGCTCGTTCGTTTCCAGTGATGCGGATCAAGGTCGTGTCTTCAATCATAGTTGACGTACTGCATGACTGCGAATCATTTTTGATTTTTGGCAGAGAGATGGTGCAAACTTTGTTGGTGTCGATGGTGTAATTATCGGTTTGGCAAAAACAAAATGTCAAGAAGGACGGCAAGGCATGGCGTAACACCGACTCTAATATTTGCAAAACAAGCTGGTGCAAAAAGTCTATTGTACTCTTTTGTTGAAGTATCGGAAGACTACAAGCGGTCAACTATTCTTAACGTCTTGTGGAATTGGAGCGACAAACCAAATTTGCAAACAATGGGGTGAATGAAGGAACACTGTCCTTAGATGAAGCTTTATTCAAGGATATGACTGTCATGTCATCGTTTTTATGGTCGCAAGCTGATGCTGGGTTTTCTCGGGGATTGCGTAGCTGCTTGGAATGTGGAGATTTTGGCACGTTACGCGTTGTTGTGCGTCATCCAAGAAAACTCAAATGTGAAGTCAGCGCCTGCAAATTGACAAGTGGAAGTGTTAGCACACAAGATACATAGAATTCGACCGACCTGCTCACTGGTGAAAAAATCGTTCTTACCGAAATGTATGACGCGAAAGCTTAAGGACATCAACACCCAGGTCATCAGCTTCACTTGCACGAGAAGCGCTTGCGTTTCTAGCACGAATGCCAAGTGGTAGATCGCTTGCAGCCGACAATTCCGCATCATCATTAGCGTGAGCGTCAGAAATGAAGCGAATTCCAAAAGCGCGTAGACGTAAACGTTGAGCAGTGTGTCTGCTACATTATCGAGGTTGACATCCAGCAAGTCCATGTGATATCGTGCACTGGGCAGATTTACCACCAACAGTATGAAATTCCCGTACAGAACGGGAATGATGAATTCCATATACTCGGTCAATATGAGACATTCAGACGTAAAAAGCACCCCGAGCGTCTCTCTGAGAATGTTTTGGTGTAGAGGAACTGACACCTCGATAACAACCGACTCAGCGGGTTCCTGCTGATTTTGATCTGGCCTAACGATGGTGATTGGTTTTGCGTTACTTGGCACAACACTTGTTTCCTTGCGGCGTGAGTGACTCCACGGCTTTGAAATCATAAATTGCGGAAGCTTGCAAACTCCGTTGTCCGGCACATGTTCAAGTGTTTTAAGGAGAGATTGTCCATCTTGTGATACCTTGTGTGGGAGGCAGGAATACAGAAGAACATCCTGACGGTCTTGCTGTTCAAACTTGTCCTTATCACGACACAACAACCGGACCACAGGTAGTAGACTATCACTCTTCAGAGTTATACCGCAGGCCTGATGAAGTCGAGACAAAATTGTGTCGGATCTTTTGTGAAGGCTTCGGAGAGATATTGCCGTTTGTCCAAAGTCAAGCACCATCACTGCGGCTACTGTCGTGATGGAAGACGTGTTCTGCATGCATGTGGCAAGATACATTGAATTGAAGAAGTCAACCGTGAAGATGACGCCTTCAGGGATCATGTCTTCCATGTGCACAATGGCTAGTGAAACCACTTTCTTCATGATGACTTTGATAACAGGAAGTAAAAGTACCACGGGTAACTCGAAGAAGGTGCCGGTGACATGTTCAAAGAGCACTTCGTACGCTGCGTAGGTGAAGGCCATTACGCACTGAGAGCCGCTGAAGCTGACAAGTAAGATGAGTTGTTCTTTATGTGTCGCCATTTGACTAAAGGTTTGTTTTCCAACAATTATGCGGAACAGCACAATAAACACCAGTACAAAGAGGGTCATGATTGTCAGAACCATAAAGGGGATCGGGAAAACCCAAAGTGCAGCCACGAGCATTCCAACGGCAGGGTACCCAATTGCCTGACCGATGAAAATCAATGTAAGTTGTCGTTTGGACAGCACGACGCCTGGAATCATGTAAGCGACGAAAGCAGCTATTCCAACGGCCACAACACCACCGAGAATTGCTACTCGAATCCAAAACCCAAAGTTTGCGCTCCAGCCTTCCGTTGGGTCCTGTAAAGGCACACATTCCTGAAGTAGAACAAGAGCTGCCATGGGTAGTGGAGTTCCGATGCATACCATCAGTACTCGAGCGATTGATGTATTTTGAGTGTATTCTTCCAGCGCCAATAACCGTTCGATGGAATACCTTCCGCTGTAACTGATTTGAAGTGCGAAAAAGACTCGTCGAAATTGCACGTACCAACCCTTTGGGGAAGTTTGCTGCCGTTCATTTGGCGGTGGTGGTGATGGTGGTGGTGGTTCCAGGGGGGACCCGCCGGAAATTACGGTCGAGGGTTCTTTAGGCAGAGCAATCATGAGGCGGGTGTCGCAACTTCAAGACAGAGAAAACACGAAAGACAAACTAAAAGCGGAGAGTGTGACATGCCAGCTCTCGTGCTTGCAAGGCAAGGGCGTGTCAAGTGTAACGGGTTTCTTATTATCTCGTAGCAACAAGAAGTCTTTTAATGGCTTCCAGTTCGTTCGGCCCACATAGGTTTGGTGTTTGTGAGCTCAAAGACGTTATACATCATCAGTTTAAAAATGGTCAGGCGTTCACTTCCGCCATTCGAGCACTTGGAACACGTGAGAGCTGTACTACTTGCAAATACAGTTTCTAGTGCTATGGCTCGAAGATAACCTTAAAACAGAGAGAGTCATCAGAATTCAAGGTATTTCTAGTGATTGAACAAGAGGCATCCGAGTTCTACTGATGTGAGTTAGCGCTTTTGTGCTGAATTCCAATCATGGGTAACGACACTTTTTTGCTGCAGGATACACCATGACGTCTAGCAACACCCTTTGGCTGCATACTGTTTCGGTAATGTCACACCATGTAACTATCAACACCACAGTTTGAGTAGTCGTAGTTTTCCATGCAACCACAACGGCACTTGCGATAGTTCGGGGTGTCATCAACATGTAGTTAGCCTGTACTAGTCTTACAATTTCTAACGTATTGTCGCGATAAACCTGTAACGCGCTTTGCTGAAAGGAAGACTTCGTGGCACACAGACAGGTGTTTCGCAAAGTAGATTCAAAGCATCGAGGTCTAGCTAGTTCTTGAGCCTGCAAAGCCTTCATCCTAGCTTACATCGTATAATCGCATTGTGCCCTGAGCGCTAAGCACTATTTTTTGGCACCCTAGCAGCAGAAACTGTTCATGGCTGAGCAATAAGGGTGATGTTCGCACTAGGAAATCACAACGAGCAAAACGAGTTGGAAGTGACAGATAGCGTCCCCAATTTTCAAGATACGTGCTTCAAAGTATCTATTCAAGCTGCATCGGAAAAAGTTGCGGTGCAGTGATTGTCGTATTCTTGACACTCGTACAAAAGGATGAAGCTTCGATAACTCACCCTTCCTCACTTACTGGTTAGCGGCCACCTCACATCTCGTTATATCTTCTCTACAGGCATGTCTTGACGGCTTCAGACGAGTGAACCTATTCCAAGTACCATTCATAACAAACACAACACCATCGCATGTCTTCAATTTACTGTTTAAACGGTCGATATCAATTACTGCGAAGTTAGCGGTAGGCTCATCCTATAATAACTGTTCTCAAACAACCACGGCAGCTCCGCCGTCCTCTCAATGCCCAAATATATGAAAACTTATGGTGCCACCGGCGTGAAACCCTTGCGCGGTGGATTAAGGGGTGCCGTTGAATCCTTCTTGAAATTGAAGATTGAGTGCTTCGTCTTCAACATCTTATCCATTTTTACCTTCACGCGGTGTGCGTAGTCCTCATCGACACTTTTAAAATTCTTCAACGTACGCTCCTGCACCGGCTCGGAAGCATTCACGAGCGAAGTAGCGATATTTTCCGCAAGTCGGTCACGCGCTGCTTCGTCCAGCACCTTGCGGTAGAAAACACGAACTTGCGATAGGTTGTCATCATACGCGGACGAATATTTGTCCACTACAGCGTGCTCCCCCTCGTACGAGTTGTAACGGAGTGACTCAGATTCTTGCGGCCCACCTAGGCTATTCGGGAAGTACGTCGGCGCGTCGCCCATGTTCCCGTTTACCACAAAGGGGCCATCCCGCTGGTACGTTTGTGGTTCCTTCAGCGGCCGATTCACCGGAATCTGCTGATAGTTTTTACCTAAACGGTGACGCAACGTGTCCGGGTACGAGAACAAACGTCCTTGCAGCATTTTGTCGGGTGACGGCGCAATCCCAGGGACCATGTGCGATGGAGAAAAAGCAAGCTGCTCAATCTCGGCAAAGTAGTTGCGCGGGTTCCTGTTCAATACCAGTCGTCCGACTTCTTTCAGTGGAAAGTCTCCATGCGGCCACACCTTTGTCACATCAAACGCAATCAAGTTATGTTTCTTGGCTTGCTCAGGAGTCATCGTCTGAATATACAACGTCCAAGATGGAAATTCACCACCTTCGATGGCTTCAAACAAGTCTCGATTGGCAATGTCGGGGTCGGCACCAGCAAGATAGGCAGCTTCTTCCACAGGCATATTGCGGATACCTTGATCCGTCTTGAAATGGTACTTCACATACGTCCTTTTTCCCTCAGCATTGACATTAGCAAACGTGTTACTGCCGTAGCCGTTCATGAATCGGTAGCCGGCGGGAATTCCACGATCCGAGAAAAGCCACGTTTGCATGTGCAGTGACTCGGGACGGAGTGAAAAGAAATCCCAGACCATATTGGCATCTTTTAAGTGCGAAGCGGGCAGACGCTTCTGCGAGTGGATAAAGCTTGGGAAGAGTATTGGATCGCGAATGAAAAAGATCGGCGTATTGTTGCACACGAGATCCCAATTACCTTCTTCCGTGTAAAATTTAAGAGCGAAACCGCGTGGGTCGCGCGTCGTATCAGGACTACCAGACTCACCCGTCACGAATGAAAAACGAGCTGCAACGGGCGTGCGCTTACCAACTTCCGAAAACATCTTGGCACAAGTGAACTCCGTGATCTCAGGGTGAGTCACTTCAAAGTACCCGAAAGCACCGCCACCTTTGGCGTGAACAACGCGCTCCGGTACCCGCTCACGGTCAAAATGCGACAGGTGGTCGATGAATTCGAAGTCTTCCAGGAGAAGAGGGCCTGTTGATCCAGCAGTGGCAGATGCCGTCAACCCAAACCGGGGCATCGGAGCGCCATTGCTTGTTGTACAGAGTGGTGGGGTCATGACTTGTTTACTTGCTTGAAACTTTCAAACTAAACAGAACAAACAACGTTGATCAAATCTAACTGTCACATTGGGACAGGAATTTCACTCACCTTTGTGATCTTTGCTTTTTTCGGCTATTGTTTTTATGATGTGAGCACGGACTTGTGAAAAAATGCGACGGGCAAACCTTTCTGTTTTGATGGAGAAGAATCCACATCACACGATGTATCATGACTCATATCGTTAACGCTTTGAGTCATGATACATCGTCAAAAACCTTTCTGTAGAAAATTACATCACATGATGTATCATGCAAGACTCATAACTTTAAGTCATGATACATCGTGGAATACCTTTTAGAGAAGAATCCGATGTATCGTGCATGACTCAAAGCATAAACAACTCAGATGCCCACTAAGATGACGTACATACCCGCTGAACCAGGGTCAAAAACAATCATTTAGTGATAACCCATCCGCTTTCTGGAGCTTCTTGGAAGAGACTTCGAACATCAAATTTCTCTCCTCAAACAAACAACTAGCGAGGACCACTTTCAGCTACATGGTCTTCGGGGGGGGGGGTACAACACCAACGCAGCCGTTAGGTTGTCACTGTTAGCGCTAGTTGACATTTCTTGATGAACATTGAATGCCAAAGTAGCGCTCAACTATGCTAAAGACATGGAACATCGAAGTTCTGATGCAAGACCGGCATCAGTTTGTCTTTTGTACCGATGTCATATATTGTATTTGTTTCATTGCAGTTTTACTACGTGAGCGACGATACCTGCACCGATGATACCTCACCTTCGACATCTTCTGCACTTTCGAGATCTTGGTGGCCTTGTGAGTCTTTACGCCCAGTCGACGCTTGAGCAGGGTAAAAGTTATTAAGTTTTAGCTTCATGAATCGTGAGGTAGACTGCTCTTCAGGCCCAGCACCTGGCCTACCCAACGATCCGACGCGTCAGCGTTGGATCAATGCGCATTCCTACACCGACAAAACTGCCGATTACGGCAAACTGCAGGTCATTCTTGTCCGCACAAAGTGACACAATAAGGATGCAAGTTATTTTGCCTTCTTCGTCCTTGATGACAATATCGGCTCACCTCGATCTCGTCGCCAACACGCAGCATACCCTACAGAATAGAGGTATCTGCGACGCCACCTTTATGGTTCTCTAATTTATTTATATATCGGTTAAACGAATGACCATCAGCTTGAGCATTCGAGGCAAAGTCTCGCTTTAGAATGAAAATGTTGCGGCAAATGTACTCGCACCCCATCCACATTTGTACATGAACACGACCGAGATGAGAATATCGGGACGTCGCAAGCGACCGTAACGGCCACAAACTTTTTAATCTGTTCGTGCTGAGCCATATCGGCAACGTCCTTAGTCCGATCCACCTCGTTCTTGCAAACTGATCACATTCAGCAAGCGTGAGGCACATTCATTACCTGCAACAACCGTCCAGCATCGTAGCCATTACAAACATAGATGTGACCTTTTCCTACTTTTTTTGTAGACATCCTTCCTACTTGTAGTAGACCGGCTCTGGTGCCACCTCGCTCGACAGTAGCTCAGCATTAAATGGGACCCACACTAACGCCAGGTCGTTCAACCAGAATGAAAAGGATGTCCCACATCCTATGCTCAGTGTTGTGTCACATACAATCCGTCATATTCATTTACGAATAGAATATTCTTGTCATTCATTCGAGAATCTGCCGTCTTAAGAAGACATGGTCAAGCTCGTCTGCGCGATCGTTGGTAGGAAGGGAAGCGCATTTGTTGTGAATATCGACCCGAATCAGTCGATGGGGGATTTGAAGAAGGCGATCAAGGTGGAAAGAATGTACCAGTTTCCTGCGAATGAACTTCAGCTCTTCCCTGCCAAGACGGTAGACGGCAAGTGGCTGGCCTCGAGCACGGAAGATGTAATACAGTTAAATATGGGCGAGATGACTACTTTCGTCGTAGAGATAACGAAAGAAGGCCTTGAGCTGCAGGGGGAGGACCCTGTTTCCGATCTCCTTGAAGGTATGGAGACTCCAAAAGGGAGACAAATTCACGTGCTGGTGGTGGTTCCAGAGCAAGCGACGGCATTCGGTAACGAGTGGAAACGGAAAAGGGCGGATGAAGATGCCCTGGACGCTTGGATGAAGGCAATTAAGAACGAGCAGGTTACAGTATTACCATTGACTTGTGAAGATTTGAAAGAGTACCTGCAACGGCCGCTTCGTATCAAAATTCCCATCTTGGAACAGTTTGACCAGATGTTCGATCAGCTGAACACTAGTGGAGAGTGTACTAGCCTTTTTTACGACTTGTTTGAACCTGAACCACGTAAACGAGTTGGGTATGAAACTATAGCGATCGTGAGGAATTTTGTTTATCCTCCTGACATCTATGAGTTTATAACCGAACCAACATACCATTACTTGTGGGATAGCCTCATTGCGACGTTGCTAAAGCGCGTGGTAAGTGGGCGCTATTGTCGCAATACGAATGCGTCTACTTCTACTGACCTCTATCGACCAGATTTGTGCTTTTACTACGGCAATAGCAATGTGTGCGTATTTCGCGGGGAAGAAGAAGCATATGGAGCGTTGGAAGTGCCGATCAAAGAATTGCACGAGCAACTGATATGGAGGTATGACGCTGCGCCGTACATTTTTGGCTACGCTGCTGTAGGGTTGCAAGTGTGCTTGGTAGCTCTTCGGAAAAACGAGATGACGGAACATGACGTGAAAGTGGAAATCATCGAAACATACGATCTAGATGATCTCAGTAGCCGGCTTTCGCTATTTCTCGCATTGCTGAATCTTTCGACTCTTTTCCGACCAGTTGTAAATTTTATCCAGCCGCTAGACGTACGCGAGTACGGTACTATCACAAGAGGCAATGGTGTGCAGATATTGTTTGCAGAGGATTGTGTGGTGAAGACGTATCCCTCGGATATGCCAAGTGACAGCATCATTCAGAACTTGAAGGATCTACATTGTCGAATGAAGGAACGTTCGGTCCCGAACGTTGTGCAGCTAAAAAGCGGAAACATGACGAAAAGACACGTAACGCTTTCTCCTGTTGGTCGACTTGCTGCACCTGAAAGTATCCACCAGCTCCTGACGGCCTTACGCGATATACTCAAGGCGCTAGTGGCACTGCACGCCATCAATATTATGCATCGAGACTTGAGATGGAATAATGTGCTGAAGTATCAAGGTGAAGATGACAAGTGGTTTCTAATTGACTTCGACGACGGAGCACTGTCACCGGCTGCAAAAGTGGAACATTTGAAGACGGAATCGCATGCTCCTGAAATGCTGTCATGTTCGTTCCATACGGTCAAGGTCGACATTTGGAGCGTGGGCTACCTCATACAGACGTCAAACATCTTCGATCTTCCGGCTAATCTGGAGACTATCAAAGCAAAGTGTTTGCAGGAGAGTCCGAAGAAGAGACCCACGGCAGTATCACTCTTTAGGACAATTGAAAACATATTAAGAGCTGCACAAGCTTACAAGCAAACAGTACATGTTCTTCCGACGCAATAGTAAGGAATAATGAATAAGATGAGGAACCCATCTGCATCGAGAATGTGCGTATGGTTTCTTGTTTGTTTGCAATGATACACAAAGATAGCGAACTCAGCCGAGCAATACCTACTTAACAGAAAGCGTAAACGCAGAAGTGATCAGTGCTCAAGCGCTATGGGTATGATAAGTCAGTGTAGATTCGAGCTCGCAAGCGAAAGAATTCTATTAACTTGTAAATGCAAATTTATTCCGCTAGTTGGCACCTTCTTCTTGGACTCCCAGCAACGCTTCTTGTTCTTCTCTACGAAGCCTCCAAACAGGTTTTCTCGTCCGTCTTTTTCAACAACGCTTTAGTTGGACCAAATATTCACCTTCATCTCCCCCAAGTAGTAGAAGCCAGACAGCGGTATGACTTCTTTGTGGCAAGGCAAGCGCTGTCGTCGTCGCTGTCACTGCTGCGGTCGATGTTGGGTTCATATATTGAAAGTCGCTTGCGTGACCCCCACCTGCCTGGACTCAATTCGCAGGCTCAGCTAGGTGGTAGTTCACTTATGAGTTCGAGGGCAACACCGCACCAATAGAGTGTGCGTCGTACACCAACGTGGATACGTTGACACGCCAGCCCAAGCCTTCCAAGTATGCCTTGACACACTGGCATTTGATCAATTCCTCAGTGTGACGCACGGTATGTTTCTAGTGTCGGCATTGTCCGACTATCTGCCCACGCGGTCACGATAGTTGCCAGGGTCGAGGATGAAGCGCTTCGGACACTTACTCCTGCGCGACATCGCGGCCGAACCTGTCCAGCATCTGCCAGCCGTGGAGCTATCAGAAATGTCAAGCTCTGCGCGGCACCGCGCTACTAGTTGCCGCTGAGCACGAGCACGACGAGCAGGAAAATCACAGGCAAACAAAATCGGATAAATGCGGGTGAAATGCCAATGGCGAGTCGTTCACACAAGTGCATCGGCTTGTCATGCTTGTTTGCAATTGATGTAGGCGAGGAAGGATCGCAGCTCGATTCTCTGGGTGTTGCAAAAAAGCTTGGTTCATTATGGATCTGTCAGGAAAGACACCTGAAATTCTTACTGGAAATTCTGCTTCGAGCCAAACAGACCAATCTCAATCCTCTTCATCTCCAAGATTTGGAGTGTCATGCAAGTGCATGGTGTCTGCAGCCTGAACAAAAGTGGACATTGAATTATGTTAGTGGAACAAACGATAATACTTGGATTAATACAGTTACCTTTTCCGAGACTGGCGAAGCATCGTTTCGTAAACTTTACACGATTTTTTAGTTTTCCATGTTCGGTTCAACAAACTTATTCGGTGCATCGGTGCAAGGGGGGTGGGTCCCCGGACCTAGCATTCGGTTCATCTGTGGTGCTTGACTGTTAGATCAAAGCTTAAAGGTCATGAGTAACAGGACGCTGCAACAAGGTGTGCACGACGGAGTAGCCATTTCTCAGACTTCCACCCCCCCCCCTCCGAGCCAGTGCACTGACCTATATTCCGTATTCGAGCTCGAGAACAACTGCGATATACATACACGGATAAGCTCCGAAAACAAAAGCTACCACGCAAGCACGATATCTGTTACAGTACCTGAACGGTTAAATAACGCAAAAGCCAATTTGCACGTTCGTCAAATGCAAATATATGTCCTCGGCCGGTGATGTGATGGAAAGCGGTCACCAGGTTCCCATCTAGCCTCTATCAGATTTCTGTTCGCCGATATAGCAGTAAGCGTTGTTGATCGCTCTTCAGCTTCTCCAAGTAGTCCGACACAAATTATTTGCAAGATCGCGGATGACGACCAAGTATTCCATGATCTACGACACTGCTTATCTCTACGGTAAACAATAGAGACAGGAGAACGACACGAAGTGTAACCAAAAGCTCCAAACCTGAATCGTATGCATACTGTAAACCGTTTGACCAAGTGAGCACTTAATCAGATTCGTACAAAATAAAGCACCGTTCATTTGTTGCAAACTTCTCGCTCGGCCACTATAGCAATTAATCCGACGCTAACAGCCCTGTCATACTCACAAGTTGACGCTGCAGCTCCTTAATCCCAAATCCTTCCTTGACACTAGTCACTTGGATGATCGGGTTCATACTCTGTGCAAAGACAATCACCCATCAGTCAAAATCAAATAAGTGTCCACCTTTGTCCACAATACTCCTCCAATTATTTACCATTCGCTTGGCACTCAGTGCCACATCCTGTGCCTTGTGAATCTGTTTTTCGAGCGCTGTCCGATTTACAGTGTCCACCTTGGTAAACACCACCTGGTACAGCGCTCCCAATTCGTGCAAAAGGTCCATAAAGTCATGATCAGCTGGACCCAGACCTCGTCGGGCATCAATCAGCAGCATGGTCGTCTTGAGATTGTTGCCACGTCGAGTGTCCACATAACCGCCAACGAGTGTGTGCCACTCGTCCACGACCTTTTTCGGGGCCGTGGCAAAGCCAAAGCCAGGCATGTCCACAAGAGCCAGTTCCGGCAAACTGCCCTTTTTCCCCCCCACACTGATAAAATGCAACTGTTGTGTCCGTCCGGGCATCTTGGATGTCCTCATAAGTGTCCTCTGACCGGTCAATGCGTTGATAAGGGACGATTTGCCGGCGTTCGACCGACCGGCAAATGTTATTTCAGGAACGTTCCACTCGGGAAGGTCGGTCGGATCCGACGTTGACGTGATCAATGTACTTTCTACGCGAAACAGCCGGTTGACAGTATCCACTTCATGTGGTCGTAACTGAGGGGGCTCCGAAACGCCCGTGATTGGCCAAAATACAGGCAAATTGATCAGACGAGCCTGTTTCTTACGAAGCTTCGTTCTTGGCTTAGAAGATGCATCGAGGGCTGGGGATTGAAATGCAGCAGCAGGTGAAGCTAGAGAGCTGGTAGTCCAGTGAAAAGATCGTGATAAGGATCGAGTGACGAGCTGGAAACCTTGCACGAGTTGCGATCGATGGAGCGCCATTGTGTGGTGCTCTGAATGTGAATGTATTAATTGATGTGGTCCACCTTACATACGTAGGCACCACTGTATGTTGTATGGCACATAAATTAACCAGGTTCTGCCCAGTGGTAGAGATAGCAGCGAGGTAGTTCGATGCATCGGTATATTTGATCCATGGTCCTGCTTTCAGTAGATACGAAACTTCTTCTAGTACTTCCTCGCCTAGGAAAGGACCATCATGTTCTCACAATCTCTTTGACGAGGCACATGAAAAAAACTCGTGTGACCGTGCTAGAATTTTATCACATAGTAGCTAGCTGTCAAGGACGGTGTTACCTCCTATTGAGCGGTGCGTGTCCCCCTTACGGACGCGTTTGCCAAGAGGTACACACAATAGTGGCAACGCTTTACAAGAAACTGGTGACAGTCCAACCGAACTCATATATCTGGCATAATTAGACGGCTTTTGCTGTGCATATCCATCCTCTTTGTCTTGTTGAGTGAATACTAATCCAGGGTTCTTTTGAAAGCGAGTGAGCGTGCTACTCACTGTGTCAGAACACCGTCAGTTTGACGCCGAGGTCGTCCGATTCCTGCCTGCAATGAAATACTCCGGGCAAGTGTCAGGACGATCCGCCAGCAACAACAATCGATGACCTTTGTTTTTAAGTTGAAACAGCAAAACAGGCTTGCTGCCGTCATTGACACGTTTGTAGGGGGGGGGGCAAAAGGAAGAAGTGATATTATATCGTTTTGTTGTGTTGGCTAATGCACCATCGAGATTTCGTAACGTGTACACTGCAGGTTAACATCTCTATTGAGATGATACTTTGCCTGGTAACATTCGCGGTTACTCGTACTGTACCAAGTGATACCTTTTTGTATCATTGTTTATAGGGATTTCTAAATGGAGCTGTATCAATGAAATGTGAACTTCTGGTACTAAGTTTAGAAAGCAGTGCAGATCAATGTCAATCGTAGTGCCGAACATCGTCAAACAGCAACAAATACTAGTCCAATATTGCGCTTTCTCGCAAGATACCTTTACCCACAAAGCAGCTCCTATGCTTGTGTAATCTTAAAGCCAGCTGACGAAGACTTCTCCAAGAACAGGGCACTGGAGGCGCAGCAAGCGTAATTGCTACAGCATTGGACTTAGAAGAACGACAATAGCGACGACAAAGGATAGACAGACTTGGTAACGGCAGGGATATCGTTTCAATAGGTAAACTCCCGAAAAAAATGCATTCATCGTGAGAGGAGTTTGGCTGCAAATGAGTAATTGTTGCATGGCTGGCGGCAAATGGAATTTGCGACCTCTTATATTAATAAAGCGCTATTCTAAACCTCCAAGTGTACATTGATGGCTGTGGTAGAGGCAGTTGTTGTTGTTCTAGGGTCATCGGGGAGGCTTTGAGACGATATCACCCTAACTCAGATTACCTGTACATGATTCACGACTTATTCCGACACTACACGTCTTTTCAGCACAGTTGACAAGATAAAGTTCTCCTATGGTGGACAGTCGATGAAGATGATTGACGGGTTAGTTGTTGACGGGAGCGGATAGGTGGCAGCCCGCCGGGTCCGACCTGATCCAAATAGCCTCGAGCGACCTTGGCCTTGCCATACTGAGAACAACGAGTGATCTTTCGGCGCAAAGTTACAGTTCCATCCCCCATTTTCATGACAGGCGCAGTGGTAGGACATGCCGTGAATTGTAAATCGACGCCGGGGCTTGCACGTGCTGCTATTATGTACTCCCTTATTCACTATCACAGATGGTCGTTCGTCCCGCGATATACGTCGACTAAATGTTTGTGAATGGGATCGACTAGACGGCTGAGTCATAACGGGCTCCGGCTCCTGCAAGAGCTCCGGCTCTTGCTTGGTGTCTGGTGTTTTCGCTGTCGATCGAGTAGCTTTGTCTTGGACGCTATTCTGTCGCCAACTTCGAAACCAATTCATGCGAGGCATGTCTTTCGGTGACAAGGTAATATCTACGTTGCAAGCAATTTGAAAATGAAGAGAGCCACATCGTGCTAGTTGTCACCGAGATGCAGAGAAAGAAAAGAGTCCAGATTTACACCGAGTAACTGAGCTTGCGCGAATCCAACCGTTTCAGTATTCGTTGGTGCGCTTGGACGTCGGACAGGCCAATAAGCGATACATAAAGCATGTGCGTTTCGCTTGGTAGAATTTACTGGTAGTTAGTGCATGACGATCAAACACCACTCTGGCGTATACCAAAAGACTGTCCGCAGGATCGTTAAACGCGCCCAAGAGTTGGCAATACGCAAGTGCATGTAGCTAATCAAACACATACTGGATTTCGAGACTAAGTTTAGAATTACAGAGCCATTCTAATGAGATGTTTCAACTATTCTTCAACATTAAAATCGCCTTCGGTCCGAACGGAAGCTCGCGCTTTCGACATCGATTCGAAGGATCACTATCCTCTTGACAGACCAGCAGCTTCACGAACGATATATACCGTCGTGAACATCAGGGGTTCCTTTCCATAATAGCATATAATTGTTTGCTATCCGGTTTCATTCGGATACCTCTAGCTTCTTTAACAAACGTAGAGCCTCTGAAATCTCAACTGCACCTTTGTGCTAATCTCTATTTCTATGGCCCACAATGTCCACACCCCATACCAAAATATAAAGTATACGCTGTGTCATATGCATCGTTTTCGAGCGACTTGATGGTAGAGTTGTACCAAGAGTTTCAGACGAATGCTTTCGACTTGTTAGTCGTACATCAAATTGCAAACACGTTTTTACGATGTATTATTGCATTGGTATAACAGGCTAGATAAAAAAACATGTTTATATCTAAAAAAAGCCTTATTTAAACGCTTTAATCGTTTTTACGCTATAAATTCCCCCTATCGATTACTGTGTGTATAATTTAATCGCTGGCGATATACGCAGTTTTATCAATGACTTAAAATGTAAGGTCATGATTAGCCCTAATCACGCAACAATTGGACAGAGCTTACTAATGGTCTTTTAAGTAAATAGAAGTTACTAGCGTGCCATACAAACTCTATGTTAAAACTGTATACGGCTGAATGTTGCCAGGTTGTGTTAGACACTATCATGTATTCTCGCAGCTTTCAGCTCGATAATGATCTACTCAGACGTATGATCACGCGCTGATGTCAATAAACAATTGCTACTTTTGGACATCAAAACCGGATGCACTTATGACATTAATTCTACTACACAAGATGCTTTTTTACAAGTCTGTCTCGATCATTTCTTCCATTCCACGCCAAACAAAAACAAAGAATAAAGTCAGTGAGACAACATTCCAGACAATTTATACGCGTATGTGGACAGCAATACAACTTTATGTGTTTCACCACCACACCGACACCAGTGCTCAATTAATACGGTTGGAGCACAGATGCAAAAAACTCGGTACGTTTCTTTCCTCGCCACATCATGAAAAAGATCTCGAAAGGTTCTGGCCTACGACCTGTACTGCAAACCGTGATATGCAGTTTGCCGCCAGAGCCTGACGTCAAGCACTTATTGCGGCTTGATCAGTGCAACCATCATTGTACGTAATCTCAGTTCCTTACAATGATTGTTAAACATGCTCAATTCACTGTCAAAAGGAGTTTAAATACCAAGGAGATCAATCTGAGTAATGTGAGCCCATTATACTGGCAAGATTTAACGTCAGAAAACACTGCAGCCTTTACATGTAACTAACTCTAGTCGTCTCAGCATAGCATTTCCACCGGTAATTAATGTTCGTCGTAAAATACCCTAAAACCAGTATTACGAATGACAGCTCCAGCGTTTTAAAGTATTTTGAGCGAAATTAAAGATAAATCTAGTCGCTAATTAGAAGACTAGGAAGCAGATTTGAGTAAAACGTTGACGGAGTCCGTTTAATTAAACCTTTTTATCACTCCAATATCACCCCTAAATTACCTATTTTAACTACAGATTTCGTGGCATCCTATACAACCTGATTACCACTTTAAAAAGTGACTTTATCATACCAGCCATTGCTCCAGTCATTAATTTCCCTGGTTCAGTTCAAGTCGAACAACACTCAAATGTTCCGTCCATCCTCGATCGCCCGTATCTTTCGTCGCAGCTTTTCTTCTTCTGTAGAGCTAAAGAAAACACCTCTATATGATCTCCATGTATCTCTCGGTGGTAAAATGGTCCCATTTGCTGGTTATTCAATGCCCGTGCAGTATTCAGCCGGTGTCTTGCAATCGCATTTGCATACTCGTGAACAGAATAAAGCGTCCCTCTTTGATGTTTCACACATGGGACAGCTACGGATCACGGGTAAAGACCGTTTGCAATTCCTTGAAAATGTCGTGGTTGGTGACCTCGAGGCACTTGAGAGTGGGGAAGCTAAGCTCAGTCTCATTACGAATGACAAGGGTGGTATCATTGATGATTGCGTTATCAGTCGGTACGATGATCACGTGTACGTGGTCGTAAACGCCGGTAATCAGGACATTGATCTAGTGCATATGCACAAGCTCCTTGAAAATTTCAAAGGAGATGCAGCCATTGAACGTATTCAAGACCGTGCCCTTGTAGCTCTACAAGGTCCTGGTGCTGTTGACGTGATTGAGACACTTGGTCCTAATGTGAACTTAAAAGACTTGGAGTTTATGCATGGAGTTTTCACTCCATTAAAACTACAGCACGGTAAAATCGTGGATGTCATTTTGACACGATGTGGGTACACTGGAGAAGACGGGTTTGAAATCTCAGTACTGAGCAAAGATTCAGAGATGTTTGCTCGTGCATTATTGCAGGATGAACGGGTGCTGGAATCAGGTCTAGGAGCTCGTGACAGTCTTCGTCTTGAAGCGGGATTGTGTCTACATGGCCATGACATTACAGCTGAAACGACGCCGATTGAAGCAATGCTAGCATGGACAATTGGTAAGCGGCGTCGGGAGGAAGGAGGGTTTCCTGGTCATGCAGTCATCATGGACCAGTTGAAGAACAAGACGGCGACGAAAAAACGCGTTGGCTTTGTAGTCGAAGGAGCAGCGGCGCGTGAAGGTGCCAAGCTCTTTGATGCGAACGATAAGGTCGTCGGTCATGTGACAAGTGGCACGTTCAGTCCCTCGCTCAAGAAGGCCATTGGCATGGCCTACGTGGACAAGAGCTCCGGTAAATTTGGTACGGAGCTGCATGTCAAGGCTCGTAACAAGACGCAAAAGGCCGTCATCAGCAAGATGCCCTTTGTGCCGGCCAACTACTACAAGAAAGAGTAGACAGCTAACAGCAATCGTTGTACTGCTTTCCGTTGACCACTGTAATGCAAATTATAGGTTACTCCCTCTCTTTTTTTCTTTGTGCTTCTTCACGTCATGTGCAAAAATCAACTACGCTATTGGTATCACTCTGTCGCTGCAGCGTGCTGCAACCATGATCAGTCCTGTTTCCTTACAGAAGAATATACTTAAGGCTGAGCTGCTTGCATCCTCGTGTGAGTGCTGACTCCGCCGCCGTGTCTTGCGGGTCCAAACCCAATTCAGAAAATTGCGAATTCGTAGCGCCTTCCAGCATCATGGCCACGTCCTCTGCACTCTCTAGTAGCCGAAAAAACGCTCCAGCAAAGTCGACATGCTGATCCAACTTGGTCACTTTGGCATGAGTGTTAAAGTAAAAGGTCATGGTGAAGTTTGGCTCAATCGTCTGACCTGCTACACGATGTGCTATCCTAGTGTGATGCCGCATTACATGAGGGTACACGAGCATGAGCGTATCCCTTGAGATTCGCAACTTCAAACTCCCTCTAGCTTGTACGACCCAGATCAATTTTTCCTCTGCACAGTCATTTTCCTGTTGCTTTGGAGCATGAATCACCATAACATTCTGTGGCCGCATCTCAAGATTGCCATGGTACGACGTGTATCTCTTTAGCTGCAGTAAAAGGGCTTCAATGCCATCCGTCGTAGCTCCTTGAGCAACAAGTTCCGGTGCACACACGAGACGTATAAAATTCTCTTGTAACGAACTCGACTCGGTCGATTGAAGAGCAAAACCTGCTCGAAAGGTCTGCAAAAAATGGTTTACCACTAAAATTGGTCTTTCATCATTCCATACCGTGAACGGCTGCATGAAATAATCTCTTAGAAAATTCCGATAGTCCTGACAAGTCTCCAAATGACCCTTCATCCCCTCGGTTTCAAGTGACAATGTGCTGATAAGTTTTCTCTGTTTTGCCCTGTATCTCCGCTGATTTAGCTTGCATTGTGCTTTACGTCTCGCTTTTCGCTGCTCTTCATCGTGTAACAGACGACGACGACGACCTCGTCGAGGTTTTTCCTTGAACAAATCAGAGGATGGAACACTCGACTTTTCGGGACTTGTATCAGCATGTAGTTTGTTATTGGGATTAGCTATCGAACTAAAGTAAGTTAAACCGCCAACGGCTTTTTCCGTTTGCATCGTTCCTGGTTGTTATTGTATTTAATAATGTCGAGGAATTGACCTACCTACTCATCGAAGTGGAAATTGTCCAAAGTATACAAATAGACTATACGAAACGCTTGTATACAGTCTCACTTGTCGTTTGTAGTAAACAAAGCACTATCTCATCGATTATGTGTGACTAGGGCATTTGCACGAAATAACCTGTCATTAGAATTTTTAAATATATTAAATATTATTATGGTCGCACGAAAGTGGAATATTTACCTTAGCAGGTTACGTTTCTATCGCGTTTGCCAGGTGATTGTTGGCATGTGGATTCGGTGTAGAGCCGGGAAGGGGCTTACAGTAATACATTTAATATAACGCAGCAGCAGTTGCCAGTTGGCAGGATTTTTATACATTTGCATGTCGATTGTCGAGGTATCAGACGCTTTTCGCACAACTTTTAACCGTGCAGAGTGCAAATATACTTGCATCACAAAGGTTGATGCGATCGCGATATTGTCGTGTGGGTGCTTGCATACAGGTGAAAACTCACCAATTTTTGACACTGAAGTTGCTCTGGCTTGAGTTCTACGCTTGACGATACCTGCTGTTCATGACACTAGATAGGTTCGGGATAGTCACAAATTTTGCTGTGCTAAGAAAAGCCGATGGTACTTCGAAGAACAATGTACGATCTGATAGAAATTTCATCAAGTGTGACTTTCATCCATGATTATGCCATTTAGAAATTTAGAATGGACTACACATATAATTCTTTATAATAGGTGCTATCATCCATCATACCAAACGTCTACAATTTAAGAGCACCCTTCGCTCTTATATTGTATGTAATCAAAGTTAACGCAAGTACGACCTAATCATGGCTCTCACTCGGTTATCGTCTCGATATGTATCCGCCTTCTGTTCATCTACTCCAAATCCACTCGTCTTTTTCTCACAAACAGTGCCGATTCCATTGCATTCACGTATATTGAGCTCTTCAGCACAGCAGCCGACAGATATTCAATTAAAAGAGAGCGATCTGGACGAATCGTTTGTCAAAGGCTCCGGTGCGGCTCCTGTGCCCGTCTCTCTCTACAAGAGCAATTGTACTATATCAGTACTAATTTGTATCATCTTTTTTCTTCGCTGTCTATTTGTTTAGGTAAAGGTGGTCAAAAGATCAATAAAGTACGCAATTGTGTGCTGCTGACGCATCTGCCTACGGGACTTCAAGTGCGTACTCAGAAGACGCGGTCATTGGACGACAATCGCCGTATTGCTCGTAAACTCTTGATACAGAAACTTGATGATTATATGAATGGATCATTAAGTAAAAACAGTGTAAAGATTGAACATTTGCGTCGTAAGAAAGCCAATCGACGAGCCAAGTCGAAACAGAAATATGCCAAAGCAGACACTGAAGAGAAAAGAAAAAATGTAGAAGATACAGAAGAGGAGGAGGAGGAGGAGGAGGAGAATTGTTGACATGGCAACATAGAGCTGATTTTGTTGGAAGAGATAGTACTGAAGCGTTTTCAGCAATGGTGAAAGTGAAGCACTATTTGTTGGTAGTAAGAAAACTTGCTACTCACAGCGTTTAGCTGCAGATTTCACAACAGTTTCTTGTAATTCTTAAGAAACGCAACGTCGCTTCCCAGGGCGAACTAACGACATGATGATTTTGACACTAGATTTTCATTTCGATACGAATTGCGTAGCAATATCACTAATCGCGTGCTTCCTCATTGACTATCACAGGTGTTGGCTTTGAACGGCCTGAAGGATCGATACATCGAAGCAATAAAAGAAGGATAATTACGTATCGCTTGTAGTAGAGGTAGCAAAAAATGATAGTATAGTATTGCTTGGGCAAATGCTCTAACACTTTAAGTGTGATATCGCGAATGTTGTTGCTAGCGCTGTCAGAAGTAAACAAAGCAAGGCAATATTAGGCGTTATACGATGTTGTGTTCGTGACTGACATGGAAGACATGCAGTATTTTAAGTGTAAACACCTTGTACTTGTTAAGATTCTTTGCTGCTGGATCAAAAAAAGTAGTACAAGGAGAATAATGCTACCACGTATGCTGATGGAGGCACCAGTACACGGATATGTTGACGTTTTTAAGTTTGCAATCGAAGAGATTAAGATAGAGTTTTGACTTCATCTTCGTTTCGCTAAGTCAGAATCGAGCGGATACCATGACAAAAACGAAGTCGCAAGGCTCATTTCATGTTCGGATAGGTTCCAACGGTTGTTTCATCGTGCGTTTTACGAAGCACTGGATCATGGACACGAAGGTATTGCAGATGTAATCTATGCTGCTTATCGGGTTGGCAATAGAGAAACATTGTTTGTGTCTCTGGTGAGACGTTGACAAGATACAAATGGTGGAACATACAGAATACTAGGCATGTTACCGCTGGAGCAGTTGACCATGCAACCAGAGTCACTGCAGCCAGCCGTCATTTCGAAACTTTGACGTTTTTATAAACGTGCAAATGTTTCTATAAAGACTTTGGAGCAAGCCTTTACAAGCGCTACAGTATTCGTACGAAGTCTTTCGATGTCGCGACTGTTTTTACAGCACCGACCGTATTGGTTTGTCGGCGCCGAGCCAAGGATTCGAGAGTGCAGCGTCTGTTGATATTCTTTGCGACAAGGAGCAAATCGCGGCAAATACTAAACAGAACGCTTGAACGCAGTGGATGCCTGCATTAACGATGCTAGTGTAAATCATGCCAAGATTGTCCATTGTCTCTGCAAGAAAGAATGCATTTCTAGCAGATTGATTGAAAAGACATTTTCGAAGGCTGCTGATTCCAATAGCTGCCTTCTTTTGGATGCATTGTGCACAAGCCATTTCGTTTCTTGGAATGCTATCTCCGCGCTGTTTAGGCATGCATGCATCCACAATCATCTCAACATTATAAAGACATTGTCCAAGAATCAGTGCATTCCCGCAACGTTTGGCGCCAAGATGATACAAAGTGCAATTCAAAGTGACTACGATAATATTGCGAACTTCTTATGAAGCGAACCGTTGACCCTTACAAGAAATTCATAAAAGTGTCGTGTCGATGCTGCCAAAGCTGGACATACATCTAAAGAAGGTTAGTTTTGCACAGCGAGACTGTTGCATGGCCTGCCTAGATAAAACTGTTGCGATACATGCCACCTGCTTTTAGCTTAACAGTGTTTGTCAAGTTTTCTGACAGGTAAATCAACCTTCGGAACAACAACTCGGTAAATGAAGTTGACGTGAAGTAGAATGTCGACTCCTCTTGTGTCCCTTGATCCTACATTGCGTACACTATCGTTGACGAAGCAGCGACTTGCAATCTTGATCAAACGCAAACTGCTAGTTGCCCTCCATTTACATTGTAATATTGCTACATGCAGCAAGCTCAAACGTTTCGATACAGTAACGGCACGGTACCTGAAGTCTATTTCCACATTGGCGCCGTTTTACCTCTTTGTGAGCCTTTTCGTTCCTAGCTGATGCCGTTTAAACATACTTCCGTGCAGGTTAAGGGCCCCAGCTGAGTATACTAACTCGACATTGAAGACTCAGTACAAGCAGCAAGCGTCAAGTTGGCTTTTTCTGTCGCTATATTTCTTCTATGTATCGATTCTGGGTAGTCTACGTTTTACCAGTTTTGCTCTCGCGTCAGGCGGCCGTCGAGTCTTCCAAGTCTCTTTGCTGTGCTTGTCCTTCTACGTGGCTCCTTCATCTCACCCTGCCTCGTTATCTGCTTTGCCACTACTGGAGAAGTATCTATGCCCCATTCATCTGTTTAATGTACCGAGGTACTCCATACCCTCCTTCAGCATTAGGCCAGACCCATTTCTCCCAGCCTTCACGCAGACGAATCTTCTCATTCTGTTCATCCAGCTCAATAGTCTCCGAATGTTTCATAACCTCCAAGAGTGACTGATAGTCCTGATGGACCGAGTAAACAGCCTGAAAGCTGCCTACAAAAGCAAGGGGGACATATCCGTCTACATCCATATGCTGACGCATAAAAATGTCGCGTACCAAATTGTCCGACGTAAAATAGAATTCACTGGATGGATCACAGAAAAAGGACAAGCAATACAACACCAAGTAATCAGGCACCAGTCGTTACCCCAACCACAATACCCTCTACAATATTAGCCAATCATAACGTACATTTGACTCTTGGCCCATTCTGCTGTCACGTTAATGTCAGGCGTTGGTACGTAAACCCCATTGTAATACGATCCATTACTATCGCCATGCTGTCGACGTCCTCCGAATTGTCTTTCACTACGAAATCCAAGTCCATCACGATGTTGTTGCTGTTTCTGGGGAGTCCCTCCACGTGTCCGAACATTCGACAAATTGTCCATCTTCTTGTCCACTGAAGCTTCGCCTTCATCTTTTTCGGGTCCCAAGTTGTCCTCGCCCTCCAGAGGGAACTGCGACCAATTGAATTTGCTCTTGCGCTTGGGTTTAGTGGTACGTGTGGTAAGTGTCTTGGATGTCTGATTTTTGTAATTCACCTCCTCAGCCTCTACGAGATGGTACTTGATGGCACCCTCAGCGGATGATACATCCGTCGTCTTCATGCCCATGGATTGTGTAGCTGCTGGCATTTTAATGGTTGAGCGATTGGCTGCCATTCAAATGTTATGTGACAATTAGGTACAGTAGACGAAACGGTGAATATTGTGTATAAACAATGACAGGTTATTTAGTGACGTTTATGGTGTAATAAAACCCAGAAAAACGTGTGCGAAAATAATGAAGTAGTTTACGAGTTTGTAAATTATAGGGATTATAAATCTTATCTTTCAAAGTCGCATTCAAAATATTACATATCAAAGTCCACCAGATATGGTTTAGTTTACCTGGCAAAGCCTTGAGCTTAGCTATTGCTAACTATAGCCTTTAAGGTCCAGCTTTAACCCTGAGACCGTTGTTGTAGTAAACTATTTACCGCAGTTATATTACATGATGTTTTAGGGAATGTCATGTTTGCTTACTTTTCCATCCCAGTGCTACATAGGCAGCCGCAAGTATCTTGCACTCTTCTTCTTTAGACACTATGTGATGAGCAGGCAGTTGATGAATACATGAGACTGGAATACCATATACGAGCGACAGCCTCCTCACTTGCTCTTTCGTCTCCACCTGATCCTTTCTTGCTATCTTTCCTTTCGATGAATGGTTTTATCTCTACCTTCAGCGATTCAAGATGAACAGGACAGAGTATATTTCTATTATAATCGATCGAACTACCACGGTGAATCAAGTCGAGGCGTCAACGCTTGCCGATCAGTTGACTGATGGCGATGCTCTCTCTTTTCTATCCTGGTCCCAGTATTGTGTCACATCAATCTGTCATCTTCATTAACGAATAACAACATCTTGTCATTCCTTCTCTATCATTCGAGACATAAATGCCTTTGTTAAACTGCGCTATCGTTGGTGTGAGTGGAAGTGCGTTCTCTATTATTATTGAGGAGTGGAAGACGATAGCTCTTCTAAAAGATGCGATCAAGGTAGAAATGATGTATCAGTTTCCTGCGAACAAACTGCAGCTCTTTTCTGCGAAGATGGAAATCGGCAAGTGGCTGGTCTCGAGCACGGACGATGTAAAAGAGCTGAAGAAGGGCAAAAAGACTCCTCGCGTCGTTGAGCTAACGGAAAAAGACCGAGAGATGCAGGGAGAGGATTCTATTGCCAATCTCCTTGCAGATATGGAGACTCCAGAAGCAAACCAAATTCACGTGCTAGTGGTGGTGCCGAAGGAACTTACAGCACTTGGTCACGAGAGAAAGCGGAGAAGGTTGACGGATGAAGGCGCCCCGGAAGCTTGGATAAAGGCAATCAGGAACGAACAGGTTACAGTATTACCATTGACTTGTGAAGATTTGAGAAAGCACCTGCAACGGCCGCTTCGTACTAAAATTCCCATCTTGGAACAGTTTTACCAAACTGTCATTGAGCTGAACACAACTGGAGAGTGTGCTAGCATTTTCTACGACTTATTTGAACCTGAACCACGTAAACGAGTTGGTGATGAAACTTTAGCGATCGTGGGGAATATTGTTAATTATCGACGCCTTGAGTCCGTAAGCGAAGCAACATACCATTGCATATGGGATAACCTCATTGCGAGACTGCTGGAGAATGTGGTAAAAGGGCACTATTGTCGCAACACGAATGCGTCTACTTCTACTGACCTCTATCAACCAGATTTGTGCTTTTACTACGGCAATAACAATGTGTGCGTATTTCGCGGAGAAGAAGAAGCATATGGATCGTTGGAAGTGCCGATCAAAGAATTGCACGAGCAACTGATATGGAGGTATGACGCTGCGCCGTACATTTTTGGTTACGCTGCTGTCGGTCCGCTAGTATGCTTAGTAGCTCTTCGGAAAAACGAGATGACGGAACGTGACGCAAAAGTAGAAATCATCGAAACATACGATCTAGATGATCTCAGTAGCCGGCTTTCGCTTTTTCTCGCATTGCTCAATCTTTCGACTCTTTTCCGACCAGTTGTGAATCGTATCCAGCCGCTGAATACACCCTATTACGGCACTATCGAACAAGGTACTGGTGTGCAGATATCGTTTGCAGAGGATTGCGTACTGAAGACGTATCCCTCGGATATGCCAAGTGACAGCATCATTCAGAACTTGAAGGATCTACATTGTCGAATGAAGGAACGCTCGGTCCCGAACGTTGTGCAGCTAAAAAGTGGAAACATGAAGAGAAGACACGTGACGCTTTATCCTGTTGGTCGACTTGCTGCACCTGAAAACGTCCACCAGCTCCTGACGGCCTTACGCGATATACTCAAGGCGCTAGTGGCACTGCACGCCATCAATATTATGCATCGAGACTTGAGATGGGAAAATGTGCTGAAGTACCAAGGTGAAGATGACAAGTGGTTTCTGATTGACTTTGACGACGGAGCACTGTCACCAGCTGCAAAAGTGGAACATTTGAAGGCGGAATCGCATGCTCCTGAAATATTGTCGTGTCCGTTCCATACGGTTAAGGTCGACATTTGGAGCGTGGGCTACCTCATACAGACGTCAAACATCGTCAATTTTCCGGCTAAGCTGGAGACAATCAAAGCAAAGTGTTTGCAGGAGAGTCCGAAAAAGAGACCCACGGCAGCATCACTCTTGAAGGCAATTGAAACGCTATTAAGAGCTGCATAAGCGTACAAACAGTATTTCTTCTTCCGACGCAAATAGTTAGGAGTGAATAAGATGAGGTACTCATGTGCATTGAGGATGAAGTTATAGTGTCTTGTCTGCAGTCAATGATACACAAAGGTAGCGTACACAGCCGAGCAATACCTAGATAACAAAGAGCGTGTTAGGTGGCGCAGTCGTGATTAAGCCGTCCCAATGGGTATGATAAGTGTTGGATTCAAGCTCGGAAGCGAAAATTTATTCCGCTGGGCGAGGCAATCGCTGTCGTCGCTGTCACTGCTACGATCGGTTTTGGAATCCTGAAGCTAGCGCGTTGACGCTGCTTCGTCGTCAGCTGCTCCTCGATGAACACAACAAAGCTTACGTCTTTGTCCGTGCTCTTACGATCACGATCATGGATTTGCTGTACTCGACTACGTTATACCAGTTTGACCCGACGGAGATCTTATGCAAACGTACATGGGACAACTGTTCATATACTTGCTCTGGACAAAGGAAGTCGCTAGCATCATTGGCATCTATCGTGAATTCCACTTTCTTTCTTCTCATGGGCTTTAGCTCGCCGGCCCATTTCATTCCTCAAGATTACCAGTGGCTCTACTTCCTCACGCCGCAGCGTTTTTCGCTTGCCATTTCTCGGTGCTTTCATGTTCGGGATTGCTTGGACGAGCCTATTTACAATGAAACAATCACGATGTCGAGCGGCGTGGAATCGGAGCTCGATTGTCAGCTCCTGGCGAACACTTCGGTGTCTACGGGTGCTATCACCGTCCAGCAGTTCACTGAAGATATATATTTAGCATGAAGCAGGACGAGATCTGGACCAATTTCATTGTAGTGATTGCGTACAATTGTGACCTCCCACCTCATTGCACTCTTCGGTTCTGCGCTTTGTGAATAGCGAAAGCACATATGCAAACTAGATGATGGAGAGGTAGACCGTTTACGAATTTGCATACAGAATGATAAGATAAACAAACACTATGTGGTGCTACAGTAATTGCGAGGCCGATGGCATTAAAAGTGCTCTGAATTACAGCGTAAAAGTGGATGTGACAAAGAACCGAGCTGCTTGCTATAAGTCGTAGTGTACAATACGACGTAAGAAAAGCTGTTTAAACATGTATTTCGTCATCAAAAGCTGATTAAACCAAGCTATGCGATGACATCTAGCTTGTGTTTGTAATAATAGTGTTGCAGAAAGTAGCTTGTCTTAAGTAGAGGTAGTCGTGTTATTATATATTAGGTACGTTAGAATTTTTCTATCGCACGTCTCCCTTTACGTTTCTAACGCCCAGACTACATCTCTCCTCAAGACATTATTAATTCTAAGAGACTCAAAAACCTAATCATATTTTAACGGTTCGGATTGGTCAATATCATTTACTCTACAATGTCAAAATTTATCCAATCCTCTCATCTCAACCAATTCACTTGACGTTTGTATTAGGGATATAATAGCGTAGACCATCGACGAGTAGCTGCTGGAATCATGTCCAAGCTTAACCCAAACGCGGGTGAATGGGTCCCTACGTACGTCATCCTCATATTCAGATGTCTTCACCCTTTGTAATCTGATAATAAATGACCTCTATTTCCAGTTTCGCAGCACCAATGACAGTCGTTTCGCCAATCAAATCATCGCCATCTCCCGTCAACGAAAATAAAGCACTTTATAATACCGACACGACCGCAAATAGAACGAAACTGGAAACCGAGTCAATCATTTCAGCCAATAAGACGTCAGTAGAACGGACGATTGAAAGTGGTCGCGATCTGCCATTGGATGAAAATGGCGAGTCAATTTCTTATGTACGAGAGTTCTTTTTTTGAAAAAACTGCTATTTTTTAGTGGAAAACCCCGTTTTTTTAAGAAATAGTGGCTCAAATGTGTGGATTTTATTCTGTAGGAAGGGTATGCACCATTACAAGACCGGTTTATTTACTCGAGAGAGTATTTGTTAGCGGTACGGATAAGAAAATTATTGAAAGAATTGAAGAGGATTGTTGACAAAAAACTAATGAAAAAATGTGTAGTTTCAACCATTAGGAGATCACGTCATAAAAGATATTCCCGAAGTTGTACGAAACCTGACGCCGCTGAAAGTAAGAGGACAATTACTTGCTGTTGCAAAATGAGACGTGTATTTTGTTTGATGATAATTGGGATGCTTACTGCAGAAAGTTGGGGGCAAAGTGAAGGGTAGAATTGTGTATACAATGGCAGAGCTTTTGCAGGTTGGTGCACTTTGTTTGTGTGAATCTTGTACCAGCATTTTTGATGATAGGTGTTGGATACTAATGGACTTACCTTGACTTTGTGGTGCATTTTTTCAGTTCCAACCACTATATCAGATGATGCCGAGCGACTTTACATGGGCGGATACGATTGGTGCAGATGCTGTAATGGGCGAGAACAAAGGCAAGAAAGGCAAGAAGTGCAAGGACCGTCAGCAGCGTGGGAGCGTCATGTCGTATGACGCGTCCCTAGTGTGTTACTTTAATCCGAACGAATATTCTGCGGCCGTGAATAATGGACTTTACACGGGTCCACCTGCTGACACAATTACAAACGGTTTCGATGGCCAGAGTAAGGTTCCCGCCGTCAAACGGGTTAACCCGGTCGAGGAAGCCATTATTGCGAGGCGCCGCGTTGCCACGTACGTCCATTTTGGGAACTAAAGGTTGGTAGACGTGTGTGCTTACGTAAGTGTTTCTTTTTGGTGCTCACAGATTGCTGGACGATGTCAGACCAGATACTATTAGTTCTATCCTGGAGTCTTTCATGAACATCACGATCAGCTGCACACATACACTTCAAGAAATTATTGGCCAGGTATTCGACCACGCAATAGCAAACCCCGAACTGAGGTATTGTTGCCATATTTACAGCTTGCGTTGTTGTTATTGTGTGATTGACCGCTACTCTTTGTGTTTATGACAGCGATTCTTGTGCCGAATTGTGTACGGAAATGTCGAAGCGGACACCAGAATTCAAAGACGGTGCAAAGACCATTAACTTTCGGCGGATTCTCCTCACCAAGTGCTATGAATCTCTTATTGAAGAACCTGACAGTCAACCATTGCACCTGATGAGTAAGAAAAGTGGAACTAACAGAGCCACGCAGCACTCATGGCGACGGAAGTGTATGCTGCAAAATGTGGGCTTTATCGGTGACCTTTTCCGGCGGCAACTGCTCACCGAGAACATCATGCACGTCTGCGTTGCAATGATGCTTGACGACGAGATGAATCCTCAATCTGAGATAATCGAGGCGGCCTGTGGACTCTTAAACTTGGTACTTGTGCTGTTATATGACGGGTTTCTTGTGTTGCTTTCTATTAACAATGTGAAATTGTCGACTAGGTTGGTGATTTGCTTGACGGATCGAGTCCAGCCTCACGTCGAACCATGGACGAATATTTTGCAGTCCTAGTGCGAATTCAAGAGAACTGCCAGCTCCCAAACCACGTTAAGAAGCTAATTACAGAGGTATGTGATGGGTCTTGTAGTTTGTTGCTAGTGTGGATAAATAACAAATACTATCTGATTAATTTGGACAGCTCAAAACTTCGCGAATAAGTGGGTGGTTAAAGAGTCGTCAGGATGATTCTTCTGCTTCAAATACGTCCAAGTCTCCAGCAACGCTGATCGGTTGTGACGACAATGGGACCGGCAAAGGCAGTATCCGTTAAGATATCAACAGACGACTGAATCACATATTCAGAGATAGGTAGAAAACAAACCCGGCTAGGCGGCAATTGAGGTATGATAATTAGCTATAGAAATACTTAACATGACAGTTAGCTGCACCAGACAGACCCCACATATTTAAAACAAAAACAAACAAGACAAAGAAATACTCACACATTGTCGTTGTCCATATTAATCTGAACATCTTTCCACGTGTAAAAGTTGAAACGTTCCACTGGTTTCTGGTGCAAATACATACCTAACTTGCATCCTTGCAACATCTTGACTCACATCAGCCTTATTCTCAATTTCTTCACGCATCATAAACACATGAGGTTCTTCGACAACCGATACAAGCTCTAGAAATCGACACCATCGACGTAATAAAGGTCGATTTTGAAGCAGAAATGCATCAGTTTTTCCTGTCACGACAACAGTTCCAAAACCTGTCGCTATTGTCATATAGTCCTGAGCTTCGAGCAAAAAAGCCATCGTCTGGTACACATTACCCATTTGACTGTAAAACCATATACCAAGACACATCAAATAGTACTATTAGCCAAGAATAGTACTAGTCTTATATTTTAATATAAAGTCACCTGTTGTCTGCAAACAATTTCTCGAAACCGTCAACCAGTACGACTGAGGTGTCCTTGTAACCGACATGAAGAGAGCATAGAAATTGCTGCAGCTCGGTACTATTACAGAGATATCTATATCAGTTTGACCAACAAATAGTAATACGTTAGTACTAAAAAATAATAATTATTATAACAATAGTACTATTCGTTTTAAAAATAGTACTTAATGGTAATACGACGCCATATGTCGTTAGTTTCCCCACTTTGCACCGGCTGTTTACATGTGGTACACGCAGTTATGGGTACAACTTCTGAATCTGAATCTGATGACGGTGAAGACGAGCCAGCGACCTCACACATAACGAGCACTACGTTCTTGCCAGCTTTAACTTGTGTAAAGCCAAATTGCAGTAATAACGACGTCTGTCCTGCATCTTTTGGGCCGTGGAGGTACAATATACCACTTTCTTTTACGCGACCTTCTTCTCGACGGATTACTTTCGTGTCTTTTGGTGCATTTAAGCCAGCGCAAAAGCTCTTGCTATCATAATGAGTGAAAAAGTCTTCGAGATGCAGCATTTGAACGAGTTTGGTTGTTCTTTAGTAGCGATAGAGTGGTTTTTTTTGTTAATAAAGCAGGGTAATTTGCCAATAGAGTGGGTGATTTGCTAATAGAGTGGGTCTGATTTGCTAATAGAGTGGGTGATTTGTCAATAGAGTGGGTGATCTGTCAATAGAGTAAAAGGGTATGTATTCGAAACGCCGTATTCGATAACAAGACCTTTAAAGAGATAAACGTTCATCTTTGTGCAATAGAATGCAGCAACTTTTCCATGGACAATCAAAGACTCACTCCTGCTGTTTCTGTCCGTACTTGCGTACCGCTCCAGCCAATTCTCCTACAAACGGATTTGCCAAATTTGGTCCTTGTTGCAATTTTCGCATTCCGTTGATCACTTCTCTCGTCTTGGAGATATAAAGACCATCCAAGCTTGACCGCATGTCAATCTCCATATCTTCGACCATGCGTCCCATATTGGACACATGAGCAAATTGATCTTCAAATTTCATCGTCCGTTCCGCTTGTCTCGTAAGTGTTCCATCCAGTGATAAATGGCCAAGTTCCGGTCGATTCACCTTCATAAACAGCAACACTGACGTCGTCAGACGATAATTGGCTTTCTTCAGCCCTTTCTCCAGTACATCACTGCTTTCCTGTACTTCAATCACATGAATTGAATTCCACGATCCTTTCTCGACAAAACGTTGATCAAGAACGTCTTTTTTCACAAGAAAACAAGCCGCAAAACCAGGTTCCAAGTCCCACATGTAGACGGATGAAATCCCCCCTTGATAATACAATTCCCGATACGACTCGAAAATTTCATTCGCTTGTATTTCAAGGTGCCGTAATGTCTCAGATGGATAAAACCCTTCGCCCTCAACAGATGGTGGATCATATTGATTACTCCATGGGGAACGATACGAATCACCGTCCCGATTATAGTCACAGAGCAGATATTTTCGACCATTTACAGGGTCGACGGCTACTTGAAGTGGTTGATCCACACGTTGGTATAAATCATCAGCAAGTGATGGCATACAACGCGTGAGATTGTATAGATCCATTTCTACCTCACGGGGAGGCATACGACGCATCAGATTTAGACATGACGTCATGCACGAATCACTCTCTGAGTTCATGGGCGACGAACGGACTGTCTTGAAATGATTGTTCAATTGGGTTTTGGTGATAATGAGTCGTTTTTTTGATTGGTTGATAAAAACGACATGATTTCTACGAATCGCGAGAGCGAATTACAAAAAAGACAGGGTTTCAACCAATCAACGAGCTATAAGAGGCCAAACAAAGGTAGACCAGTAAATAAATTTATTATTCCCGCCATGAAGGTGCATCTCCAGTATCAAGAGACTTTTGATAGTACGGCTCCAATTGTCGGTATGTATACGATTTTTCTATCTATTTCTATTGTAATTATTGTATACGATATCATTGTATTCATTGTTTGTGTGATGTCTATCCAGCAACGTTCCGGAATGGTCCACCACCACCAAATCAACGCAAGGATTTAACTTTTGAGGTATTTGAAAACCCCATCAAGAAACAACGACTGGTTCTTGCAAGTTCGGAGAAAATGGCTTATCAAGGTGCTAATTTTGGCTACTTGGGTTCAAGTCATGATTTTTCCAATTATGCTGTGGGGGTCTATGATAAGAAGACAAAGGAGGTTCGACTGTGCAATGTCAATCAGATTTACGTCATGCAACAGGCAATTAAGAATTTATCCGAGAATGTGGATGATAATCGGGGTGAAAAGAAGAGTTTAATGGAAAAAAGACGAGATCTTGTTGTGGTTTTTGGTAGCAAGAAGAGCAAACGGATGCAGAAAAATCGAGAGGAAAATATCGTTGATCATGAAAACATTAGTGGTGCAACTTCTGTGGCTCAGACGTTAATGAAAAAGATCTCGGCAGCACAACGCAAACTGGACGAAGAACGTGCACAGGATGGAAGCTTTTTAGTAGAAAAAGCAGCTTTGGCTGCTACGCGGAATGCTCTTTTACCACCTTGTGATATCGACGCTCCGACGCCAGATCTTGTGTACGACTTGACAAAGTGTAAGTTTTAGAAATGTTGTGAATTTGGTGTACGAATATTGATAGGAGTTTGATGTGGCTGTAGTTATGGATAGCACTGTTATGGACTCGCTGACTATCATGGCGGAGGAAGTCATAGAAGCATTACAGACAACGAGTGTGGCAGAGTATGCGACTAGCTTGGGCCTGGCATCGCTTCCTACACGACTCATAATGTCTCTACCTACCCCGTACGATGTCAACAAGATGTGTCTCGTGGTGTATGTGGCGTTCATGATTGATTTCTACAACTCGCGCTTCCCTTTGCGCAAGTCGGCGGCAATTTTTAGCGAGGAAAAAGGGATCCCTCTCGTGGTCGTGCGTCATTTTCTGAAACTCTTTACGGACATTAGCGAGGGCAACAATGGTTATCCGACGTACTTCCAGTCCAAAGCCATGAAAGACAAGCTAAGCTTGTACCTTATCGTGGTTGCGCTGACTGTAAACGGCTTCAGTTTGGATCTCACAGAGGTTGGCTCCGATTTAAAGAGATCTGCTATCCAGATTCAGGCATACGCTCGTCAACTTGGTTGCATTGTCGAAAAGGTAAAAGCGGAGGCTACTGCATATGGCGGCGCGTCCAAGAAGCAGATTAACCGTGCAGTGCTTTCAGTGCCATTACACTTCCCACTGCCGAAACGTGGCGGTCCTGCTCGTCGATAAGCAATTTATCTTGCAGCAAATAGAAGTCTTGACCAATGCTTCTTTAGGACGAAATACATACTGCATTAACACTACATGTGTACTAGCGGCCTTCTTCTTTCTTGTGTTCCTAGTCGACTAGTGCTACGTAATATCCTTGGGTCGCAAAATTGAGATCCTACTCACGGCATTCAAAACTTTCGTTGCACTGCTGTAGCTCACGAACAAAAGCACTCGACACCTGTCATAACCAGTTACTATAGATACCATCATCTCTCCACCTTCTTCTCTCTGGTTTACGTCTGCGTGGGGCGGCCGGTAAGATCCGAGTCCGTGGAAAAGCGCGAGAGAGCCGATGTGCGATCGAACGAGCCTGATTCGAGCATCGCATAACTGTCATTTGTGCCGCGCATGTCATTCATCCAGTGAGACTGTTCACCATCACCTGGTGGTAGTTGGCTCTGTCGTTCCAGTGCCTCGGACACAGTCGTTCCGACAGTATCTCGAGTAAAATCTTCGACACTACCATCGAACGAATTGAGCACTCCCTGTCCATTGTACGTTCCCGAGAAGGAATTAGCGTACGAGCCAGCAATTGAACCAGCAAACGAGCCAGCGTACGACTCGGTATATGATTCGGCATAACTGCCAGTAGCGGCGTTAAACTCCATTGACTGATCATCAAAGTTGCTGTTACTTGGACGTGAAGCTAGCAGGTTATCCTTCCGGTTAAAAGGTGACGTCGACGGCACGGCTCCATTGACCGTGGACTGTGCTGGATCAAAGTTATATCGCACTGGCTCCTGTGACGGACTGGGAGAGCTACCCGGTACAGCATGTAGCATTGCAATTGACGACGCCAACGGGTCCGGCGTAGCTTTCGTAGACGGAATGTCCAACGTAGTAAAGTCATATGAACTGGGCGTACTTTGGACGTTCGTTGCAAACACTTGATTCGATTCCATGGTATTATTGACCTTGGAGACCGAATAGTCTTGCATGACGTGCTTCTCATCGTCCTTTCGCTGCTTGATCCTCATGGAACGATAGACGTAGAATCCAGCGACCCCCACTAAGACAAGCACAAGGACAATGACCCCAATGATGACGCCTGAACTCATGATTCGATTACGATCTCGATAAAAAAAGAGAAGGCAAGAAAGACCCCTTTGAGAAGAACAATGGACGAGGGATTCGATTGTGGCGGCCGTATACGTCCGTTGTACGAAAATCAGCATGATGTAGTCTATCGTTGAATCGTGGGAGAGCTGGATGCAGACCGAGACGAGCCCTGGTTTGGAATTTAGGGGTCAGAAATCGACCGTTTCATACTGAAAGCAAATGAGAAGCAGTTAAAACGAGCGATCATTTCAAGACGTCTTTTCTGGCTTTGTGAGAGCCTCACAATCAAACGATGAGCTCCATTGTACCACATGACGGACTGAAATACCTATTAAAACTCCTGTTGTTCGTGTCTACTCGATATGTTGAAAGCAATCAGTACTAGAAAAAAAATGAAAGGGCTCGTGAGCTAAGTGATTCCTACAGTAGGAAAGCACAACACCTCCATTTGTAGGTTCATTGGGATTGAATAGAGCCGGTGTCGAGGGCTCTAACACCCAACGGCTTTCCATGAGACTGAATGCAATGCCGTGCAAGAGAGGGACTTGGTGGCGTAGAACCTTTTTGCATTGCTAAGAGTAAGGCAGTAGCTTGGTTTGCTTGTCGCATAAGAGCATACAACGTAGATATCTACAAGCCGACTTTTTTGTTAGGATTTTCTAGCGCTGATGGTTGCAAGCTGTACTCCATTGTGTTGGATTAGCACTTTCAAATGTCAGTACAGTCGGTCTTTCGATATTGGAGACTAAGACTTGAGCAGACAGACCTCTAGCTACTGGCTTGAATACAGAACATGTGACATTCACATGGAATTCACAGGGTCCACATGTGCCTTGTGCTACACTGGTTCTTGGAAAATTACTGACCGCAATAACCACAGGTTCGTATTACCAAAGTATGAGTGAGAATATAGTAATCTTGCGATGAGACCTTCATCATCAATCAATGCCTGCCTGCAACTTGTAAGTAATTCCGTGTGTCGCTCGCTACCTCCTGCTGTATTGCTGTTTATTCAGGATCTAATATGTTCCACCTCGAGACAATGTTCTATCATAAGAAACACGTCGAAGCTGAATTTTTTGAAAGCGTAATGCCCTTACACGAACAACTTCAATGGCATCTATCTACCACTGAGATTCAATCAGACTACTAAGGTATCACACCATTTATGTCAGGGGTAGCAGTATCTAGGATTCAGAGCCATGCCCTTGATTGACGTGACAAGCCTTTTTGTGCCATCGCCTTTCTTCACTGAATTTTTGAGGTGAAGAGATCAATCGCGTGCAATTTGTAGCATGTCTTCCTATCAAGCCTCAATCGCTTCAGTCAATTGAATCACTTTTCAATTTACCTCAGCCTTCGTGTTAATCATACCTTCACCCCCTTCACGGATGTCGGTCCTACTTCGCCTTGCACTTTTAGTGATATCCACTGCCTTGTCTTTCTCCAAAACGGATGCGACCAACTCGTACCCGATCATTCTAGTCAATGGTTTCTCCGGTTGGGGTCGCGATGAATTGTCGGGCTTTCGATACTGGGGTGGTATCCAAGGAGACTTTCAAAATGAACTGACAGCCAAAGGCTATAAAGTTTATACAGCAGCAGTGGGTCCGTTTGCCAGTAACTGGGACCGTGCCTGTGAGCTGTACGCTCTCATCAAAGGTGGTCTTGTCGATTATGGCCCGAAACATTCGGCGACGCACAAACATCTTCGCTTTGGACGCAATTACACGGGACTTTACCCGATGTGGGGCACGACCAACTCCGATGGCTCAATCAACAAGGTTCACCTGTTGGGGCACAGTATGGGTGGTCAGACCATTCGAATGCTAACTCAAATGCTCAAACACGGCACGACCGGGGCACCAATCGAAGAAGATGCATCAACGCACCCTCTTTTCGAGGGTGGAAAGAATTGGGTGCATTCAATCACGACCATCTCGTCGCCCAACCAGGGCACTACATTGAGCGACGGTTTTTCCGTTATCGGAGACTCTGTCAAGGACTTGCTAGCAGGTGTCCTCAGTGTTGTCGGAACTCTTAAAGCGAGTTCTTCAATGGTCTACGATGCCAAGTTGGATCAGTGGGGGATCAGTCCCAAACAACCGGGTGAGACTTTAGTAGCGTACCTCGATCGCGTCTTCTCGAGTCATTTATTCGATCCGAGCTTTCGAGACACAAGTCTCTGGAGTTTGTCTACTGGTGGTGCAAAGGAAGAAGCGACGTGGGTCAAGACAATAGGTGACGTGTACTATTACAGCTACGCAACGATGGACACGTTCAGTACGCGAGACTTGCTCTTTCGAACAATTTCGTTGCCTAATCCAATGATGTTGCTGCCTTTAAAGCCACTTGCGGTCTTCTTGGGTGGACGTTATGCACCTGATCGACTGAAACTCTCGACCGACTGGCAACCCAACGATGGTGCCGTCAATACTATCTCAATGGGTTCCGATGGTGTCGCGAGTGTCACCAAATTCACTGGGATTTCTCACTTCGGCACGTGGAACCAGATGCCGCAATTGAATCGACTCGACCATCTCGCAATAGTAGGCGTCACGCTACATACGCAGGTACTAAATGTGTACGAGGGTCATGCTGCGCTTTTAGCAGCTTTGCCTATCAACGCTAGTTCTCGTCGACTGCAAGATTCGACCGTCGCGGCGGCACAACTTGAAACAGCCATTTCGGACTTGGTTGAAGCGTCAACAAGCGTACAGGTCAAGGAGGATTTAGAAGTTTTGTGCCAAGAGCCAAAGAACTCGTACGCCCTAAGCTACTGCAATACGATGCTCAAGGCCGCACCTTAGTGTCATCTATGAGGATAAAGGGAGCCGACGCGTTTTTTCGTTTGCAATAAGTGAATCAAGATACACACCTCAATCTTTGTACATTCAGCGTGATTTAACTACGCAGCATTGCTCGCATGACTTCTCGTGCTGCGCACCATGCCCCTCCTTCTCCTCCGCGAGCGCAGGCGTATAAGCAGAAAGAGCTGCGCTGTCGAGGGCTAAATAACACGGTCAAAAGATCACACTATCCGAGCACTAATTTCAACTTGAAGGAGTCGGATCAGATTCAACAGAATGAGATACAACCCAGAAGCCACTTGCCATGGACATGCTACGAAAGCTTTTTTAATCCCCTTCATTGTGCTATCACCTACTTCTATGCCTTTGGTCTGGCATTCGCAACTTATGCCAAGATCCATCGCAGTCAATGCTTTTGTAAACTCTGATTTCATGCTTATATGTCGATCTCACCTGTATGTCCATCAAGTTTTGACCTCTTCTCTGATCTTGAGTTGTGTAAGCACTGGACTTTTCTCTTTCGCACCGATCTTCAAAGCGTTTCCTACGCTCCTCGTGGAGAGGGGGCGCGTGTTTACAATGGATACCAATGGCTACTGTCAAAAACAACCTGATGGCTCTTGGTTCTAATCTCGTGCACTCAGTTTTTACTCGTTTTGTCCAGATCGAATGTTTCACGATCTTGCGTATTCGTCGATGTGATGGCGCAACTTGGAGCATGAACAATCCTACAGTTGAAACACATTTGCTAGCAAGCGACGGGGTCTTATCCGCTTGCTAGATGAATGGAGCGGATTTTGCGAGGGGGCACAAGTACCTTGGCGACATATTCACCTGGAAGACGACTCAGAGTGGTATCGTCCGATTTTCGCCCAAGCGTGACATGGCTACCCACTCTATGGCGAAGCGTCGGCATTTTGGGAACTTCTGCCTTGCCCTTCTATACAATTTTCCAGCACTCGTATACAGGTCGTTTGAATCGGGGGCATTGTTGGCGTACTCGACAAAGGTCCACCAATATCATACTTGGCTCCTCGACCGAGACGGTACATCGGTATCGCACTTCGACACGGGTATAGCGGGTGGGGTGGCTACAGTGCTGCTTGCGATACCGCAGCGTGTCTGGACAGTGGAATTACTGTCCACTTTGGTGCGCATCCAACGCTTACGCGTGTTGTACACCTATGGGCTGGCCGTCGAAGATGGAGGCCGCAACGACGAAAATTCAAAAAGATCATTTCCCGCAGGCGAAGTGATGAGGGCAAACGCATTTGCGACGAACGCGTGAAGAAGCCGGACTTCCAAGTGATTGCAGCAGGTACATCTCTGATCGAGTGGAGAGACATCCGTTAAATACGGGCTTCTTTCCCGACCAACGCGCAGACGCTTTATCGTCTGAAGAGTAACAGCTTCCCGCTATGGAATTGGGCTAACCACGATCTATCTTGCCCCGACCCAGCGTGTCCGACATCCTTACTGGCCATGGCTAGTCATGTATTCTAGAATTGCCCTAGCGCTCGGCGTCATTGGGGTTATCTACTTGAACGGTGGCGAAAGCTAGGCGATTTGGAGGAGGCGGACCTTCACGTCTGGGTGTTTGGCATGGACCTTCCGAGTATTCCGAGTTCTGCATGGAATGCCATTAAAAACGCTATCGAACCCAGTGTAGATTTGTCTCGAGCGAAGGACGCCGTTTTTCCAGCAACGCGTGAGCTCTGGCGTTTTCTCGTTTCTACGACACTACATTCCATCTGGGCTGAGCGTCTCCGCCGCTTGGAAGACTCACTTTTGCCACAGGAAGTACACGACGCAAGAGCAAGGACACAATTTCGACGAGCGGGCACACGGTTTCGAAGTTCAACATATCAGTCGGACATGGGGGTAGACGGATACCTATTCGCACGAGTACGGTCGGCGCTTGCTGATATCCTCATCGGCTTTGACAATCCTCCACCCTTGCGAGCGCTGCCGCTTGACACTCTATCTGGGGTTTTCTACCTGCTCTTCTTCGACGGGGGGTCAAGAGGAAATCCTGGACCGGGCGGAGCAGGTTCCGTCATTGTCCAACTTCACATTCAGACGCACGCAGCATGCGTCGTGTGGGTATCGAGCATGGCTTACGGTTCTGCAAATACCACGAACAATGTCGCTGAATACTGGGGGCTCGTGCACGGGCTTCGACAAGCGAAGGTTAGCGGCTACTCACCTCTCCATGTCGTGGGGGACAGTGCGCTCGTGCTTTCGCAGCTTCGGACGCACCATCCTCCACGCAAGCCACACCTGGCCCTTCTTTTCCGAAAGGCAAGAGCACTTGCTGACGATATCAATGTCTCCAGCTGGGGACATCACTATCGCTCATACAACAAAATGGCGGATCGACTGGCGAATATCGCTATGGACACTGGAGCCTCAATTCAAGTGCACGCTTCCGCTGAGGAAGGTGTTGTCAAGGAGGCTTCGGTATTCCTTGACCATGATGTCAACCACTGGCTGGAGGCCTCTCAAGCCGACAACTACGAACCTCAGGGACCCGCTATGACGCCACGGAACCTGATCATCTCGAGACAAGACTCTGCGCGACGACGCTCGGCTGTCCGAGGACTAGTTATACCTAGTACTTAAGGTAGAAGTCGCCACGGTAACTCTGTTACCTGTCGACAGGATATAATGGGTCGTACGCGTACTTAAATATACCTCACCTTCTCACTCTCTAATCCGCTTGCTAGCAAATGTTTCAGCTGTGCTTGATGTTTCAGCTGTGCTTGATGTTTCGAACACTTGTCTCGTACTTGAACGTGTCGTTATTGTAAAGACTTCCTGCCACCTCTCCGGCAGCATATGGAAAGAGAGGGTCAATCACTGGGCTTTACAGATCAACCGGCGCCATCGAGTTGGCCTTGCATTTAGAGAATCATTGCGCTTACAAGTGGCCTGTGCAGTTTCTTCTCGCACGTCGGGTGCCTTTAGCAATAAGATCGGCGTGGTTGCACACTTTCCAGTTTAGGCGTCCCCACGTATGTCAATCTTGCTAGTATTCGCACTTGTGCTGGCTTGGCCCTTTTGATGTTTCAATCCGGGGCCTCCACCCCGGGCTTGCTCTTACTGGCTCCTGTTGCGAAGTATACCTTTTGGCATCGCTGCTAGTCACCTTAATCGGCTTCGTCTTCGACTGTTTGAATTGCTTGGCCTTGTGCCTGGGCGCTTATAAAGTCGGCGTGACCGGTAAGCTTTCAATCTACGCTTTCTGATGCGAACGCGAAGGATATGCCATCAACTTATAAACGCGGCTTCGTGGCTGTTAACAAAACCCCCTTTTGCTAGATTCTTCTTCTCAATCCAGTTTCCGCTTTCATGATGCAGCTAAGCAGATTGACTAATTAGTGGATCCGAAGGACTATTGCGTTATATCTTGCTAAACCAGCGTCCTTGACATCTCCAGCGTGACACCAGGATACAGAAATGGATAGCGGTTCACACGTCTCAATCAAATTCCATGTCGTAGTTGTATCATACAATAACGAGCTCGACCGGACGGATTTTAACGTTTAGCTCTTGGGTGCTATGATGCGCTCCAACGAGGCAAAGTGCTGGTCGGCTTCCGATAAGCTTATCTTCATCTTTTGCACACCGCGCTCCTGCAACAAAACCGCCAATTCGTCAGCAGGTGATCTTAACAACTCGGATCCTGATAAACTCCAAGTTTCGGTTACCAGGAGAACATTGCGAGTGAATGCATCGATAACCCGGTCGCTCTGAAATTTATACACGCAAGTATCAAGTATCAGTAAATGAGGACTTCATGCTAGGAAATTGTGCACCTCGTACAATGTAAATGACGAGTTCTTCTGACGACGTGTGAGCTATCGGAAGTAGTGAGCAGTCCCTTTGGGGAAGCTGATGAGCACCATGTAAGATATAGCAAAAAAGTAAGCTACCGCCAATACGACCACTTTGGTTTAGACATAAAGCTACACACCTGAACCTCGCCAGGTCTTCCGTGACAATGTGTACATTCGAGTCGTCAACGAATTCTGGGCGACACAATCGTTAGACCGTGAATTGAAGTCTCTACGACTCCAGCTTTCAGAACCCCTGTACCTTTAGTACGTCACTGTTCATGGGCACTAGAAACAATTCGTTCAAGTCCTTGCAGATTACTTGAGATATCTTCTTGATCTCACCGAAATCTACCACATACCCATCCGAGCCAACTCGTCCTGTAACAATGACTGCCAAACGGTAGTTATGTCCATGAAGTTTTGCTCGGAATCCCTGTCGTCCACGCACGAAGCACAATAAATGAACCAACTCAATGAACTGACAACTACACGTTAATGTCTCACCTTGAATGCGATGTTAAAGTGCGCAGCATTGAAACTCATGTAGTCCTTCGACACATGCACCTGAATAAGTTGGTTATGAATAGATATTGGTGCCATTGGTGCAATTGCAAATGTCGTCGGGACGATCGTCTTTGGCATCTGATCCACTCGAGGCGTCCGAGTCGATGGCAATTGAGGCTGCACCATTACTGCATCTGATGTATGGACATCATGATACACAGCGATCCATATTGGTCCTCGTATTCTCCATGACTAGTCGTTTGCTCGACTAAGTTGATGTAGTGTAGCTTGGTGCTTTTTCGTTGTGACTTCGGTCAAGTCTTCCTGCTCGGCCATTTTATATCTGTAGGAAGCGTCTCATCTTATGTATTACCAGCAAGCTTCTTATGAGCTTCAAGTGAGGTGTTTCAAGCGTCTGAACTGCACTTGAGGTATCCACGGAGATATTTTACTGGCAAATGGTGCTCAGCGATGAATTCGAGCTACCTCATTTCTTGCCTTATGGAGTTCCTGGTCAGGCGATTGACGCGCAACAACAAAATTGACGATTGATGTCAATTAGCAGGAGATAGATCTGACAGCGCAAAGCGAGCTGCGTTTGTTGCATAAAGATATAGCAACGTTGGCCTTATTCTTGCTACTACGGATACACTTTGTAAGTACTTCGTCCTCGTCGTCGCTTTCTTCGCTTGGGCCTTGCTACAATGTTTCAACAAGTTTTGTATGCCAGTGCCCGACGTACATCCTTCGTCTTCTTCTCCATGTCAAAACAATGGTCCTTCTTCCAGATCTGATACTACTCCTTTCCACTTGTTTAAGCTGTACGAGGTTCATCCTTGGGCCGTAGATCCGTGTCTTAGAAAATGCCACCATCAGCAAAGGCGTGTTCAGACAAAACACACCGACTTCAGTCGATCATGCTGGTGACTGACACGATCCGTGCAAGCTGCATTCACTCACTCACTCACTCAGCAGCACAGCGCGTCCATATAAAACAATGAAGCTCGAGCCAAAGCGACCGGTAAAGTTCTCAACAATCAATCCAATCAGTCACAATCACTGCAGGTTTCCAGGTTTGATATGCTGCTTCAAGCTCGGTGACTGTGCCTACTTCTTTGGAGGCCCGAACAGCCCACCATCATCATCCCAGTCAGAGTCAGAATCAGAATCCGAGGACTCGGCGGCACGCAGTCGTGCAGCAGCACTGGGGATTGGTGGGTGGACGATAGGTGCTGAAACGCCTGCCGGCGACTTAAACAGCGAGCCTACTGGTGCCGCAGCTGGCGTTGGAGCCGGATCAGGGGTACTTCGTACGGCTGGCACTGGAGCCGCTGTTGGCTTTACTGGGGTTGGCTTTGAAGTTGTTACACCAAACAGGCCACCGTCATCATCGCTCCAGTCGCTATCGTCATCTGAGGAATCTTGCTGATGAACCAGCGGGTTAGCAGGTGGCATCGAAGAAGTCACCGTTGCAGGAATAGGAGCTGGCGTCGGTGTTGGTTTTGGCGTAGGGGCAGATCGTGAGGATGGTGCTCCAAACAAACCACCTTCGTCCGATTCACTCGAGTCGCTATGCACACGCGATTGTCGGGTCTGTGTTGGCGCGGCTGCAATCGACGTAGTTGCTTTAGACTTGGTTGACTGCGGGACACCAAAAAGTCCTCCATCGTCATCGTCATCGCTGTCGCTGACGTCTCGTGCAGCGACAGGTGATGGCCTAGTGGCTACTACAGGTGGCACAGTGGTAGCGACTGCTTTGTTTGCACCAAACAAGCCACCATCATCACTATCATAGTTGGCGTTACTATCACCCTCACCGAAAAGGCCGCTTGGAGGGGCACGCTGTACCGGCTGTGAACGAGGAGCTGATATTGGAGAAGCTGTGGTGATTCGGGGGGCAAATTTAGGGGCAGCACCGAATAACGCCCCACTATCTTCATCATCGTCACTGCTGCTATCAGAAAACGGCAGGTGCCGAGGTGGCGCTATCACAGGCTGCGCAACTGACGTAACCGGTTTAGCTGGTGCAGCTACAAACAATCCACCATCGTCATCATCGTCATCACTACTGTCGTCAGAAAAATCGAGACGCCGAGATTGCTGTGAAGCTGGCAACACAGGAACACCGACAGTGGTCTTTTTCGTGTCTTTTACAGCACCAGACGGTCGTCCAAAAAGGCCACTTATCGTGGACTCTGCATCACTATCGCTAGAAGCAAAACTCTTCTTTGATTCAAGCTCATTCGTCCGCCTCGATGTTGTCTCACTCATAGGTGGCAAACGAAAACCATGCTGTTGAGCTTTGGCAGTCGGGGATTTCTTTTTCGAAGTACTTCCAAACAATCCTCGTTCCTCGTCCGAAGAGGAAGAACCAAACGAATCAGATCGTCGTGAATTTAGCCGTTTCGAAACGTTTTGCTGCATTGTGGTGCTGGCGTTCCCACCGGTAGAAGACTGCACTGCCGAGCGTTTCTTTAATTTTTCTGCCTCATCTGTAGCAAATACCCGCGGTTTTGTTGTAGGGGCCGAGCCAAACAAACCAGCATCACTTTCTTCATCAGAACTGTCCAGAAATCGGTTCTTTCTTGCATGTGAGGGAGTAGCAAACGGAGGCGGTGCTTCTTGGTTGCGGCGACTTACCGAGCCCTGCTTATGCGTCGGTGTCTTCTTTCCACCGTCATCACTGTCACTTGTCCAATCACTATCATCACTTGCTTCCTCACCACCCTCAAACACAGGACGTCGGCGAGAATCACGTGACATGGAAACTCTCGACTGCGATGAAGCTAATTTTTCAGGTGCCACCGGGCGACCAAAGAGCCCGCTTGTATCGCTTTCATCAGAGTTTGTACGTCGTCGAAGAGGTTCGACCACCGGTGAACGATGGGTAATCAATCCATTCGTATCGCTCTCATCTGAATCTGCACGTTGTCTAGACGGTTGTTCTGCAACAAAAGACCCCTCCGAGTCTTCTGAACTTGAACGATAACGTGAATGTGAGCGTTTCTTTATTTCTCTTGATGTTTGTGATGATTCCGACTTGGAATCCGAATCGGAACTGCTATACGATGACGTATAACTTGATCCACTCACACTGTCCGAATCTTCTTCAGGTGCTGCACCTAATCCAAGTGTTTCATCTTCTAAAAACTCTCTTGTCCCGATAATAAATGGTAATGGCCGTTCATTGTAAATATCCAACACAGTCTCAAATTGAGACAATCTCTCACTTTTCTCCTCTTCCTCGTCGTCCATCATTACAAAAAGTTTCATTGCTTCAAGTCCCATATCTAAAGCTGCTCGATATTTCGTCACAATGGATTCAGCAGCAGCTTCAACTCGTTTATCACTTGCAATTGGCTCGTCTGTCTCAAGCTTGTCCTTCTCCGGATGTTTCTCCACTTCTTGCTTCTCCGATATCGTCATATTGTTCTCAAAAGTGAAAAATTCTTCTTGTTCTTCATCGTAGACACGATTTTCCATAAACTGATTATTAGACAGTAATAAAAACTGATTAAAAGTGTTTTTAAGCCGCACATGGGCCGAATCCGCTTCGGCCGCAATGTTTCGTACACAAGTTTCCAAATGTTTTGTACGTGCAAATAAATCCGTGGAGTAACGCTTAAGGAACGCGTGTAAAAGGTGGTCCGAATGTAACGTCCAATTGGATACTTCAGAGGTCAACTCGGACAGTGTTTTCGGCTCAAGGGGTTTTGACATTGACGTTTCCGTCTCATTATACGTGGATGTAGACTCGATAAATGGATCAGAAGGTGAAGAAGAAGACGGTATCATGTCATGGTCCGATGCGGCTTCGAGCGTCAACAATTTGACCATTATCTTGGGATTATTAGGTTATGAAAATGTGACAATAGAAGACGTGGTCGTATTTAAACGAAACGACACGGTTCACCAATTTGTAACTTATCGTCTATCACTTAACAGCGAAGGTAAAAGTGTACGAGCCGATGCGTACAACATTGTGCGTACGAAAAAAAGATGGACTTTATGTAGCCTAAGACTTATCGTCGTTATAACTATAAAAAACACCCTTGGTCGTGGCGGCCGTCAATGGCATAAAGTTATCAAGACACTTCATGGTTGCTGCACGGCAAGGGTTTTGTCAGCGTCGAAGCACTGAAGTCGGTATCAGATCTACTCTCACCGGCAGAGCGAAGTGAAACTTTGCATACCGCTGCGCTACACAAAAGAACAGCCAGCGCGCACAACGTAGTGAGCGTCGTTCAGAGGTCGATCCCTATCAGCTGAATGTGATGAGCTAGCGCCCAATATCGTTGTGGGTAAAAGCTGGTGCCTTCAGCCGCAACATCATCTCCCCCTTCATTCCACCCTCGATTGCGTTTTATCTCCGTCGTGAGCATGAGGCCATGGGAGGCAATGTAGTGCATATGTCCATTCATAGGGATCGATGTCGCCCGACTTGTGCTTCTGGCAAGCGTGCGGCAACAAGCCGATCTCTTCGTTCGGAAATTGGAGCTGGATGGCGTCTGCCAGACGGCCACGGAAGTTTCCAGGTCGAAGACGAAACGCTTCGGACACCTGCCGACACCCGCCCTGCGCGACATCGTGGACGAACTTGTCCAGCATCTGCCAGCCATGAAGTACCAGAACTTTCAAGCACTGCGCGACGCCTCGCTATTTGCTGCTGCTGAGCACGAGCACGACAAGCAGGAAAACCGCACGATGTGAAGGGATTACTGAAGTCGCGCTAAGTGCTGAGCTGCTGCATCCTAGCTGGAAAAGCACCCTAGTCATCGCACGCGAACAAAACCAGCTCACAGTAGGAGATAACTGCGGCTAAAACACCAACGAAAAGTCGCTTACACAAGTGCATCGGCTTGACGTGCTTGTCTACGGCCGCTTTCGTCCCCACATCAACGCATAGACCTTACGTCAGTGACACGAAACGTCAGATTCTGGATGCTGAGAAGCCTCATCTTGTGCCACGAACTCGTCGCTAGCTTTTTTGTTGGTTCACGATAATGAGACAAATGAGCAATGTTTAAGTGTGTGCTAGTGAAATTCAAATACTGCGCATTATCTTCATGTCGGACTCCTAACAATAGTTGAAATGGTTGGCTCCAAAGAATCCTGTAGTCACTGTTTTGTATGTTCACGTCATGTTTCGTCGATAACGTAGACTCATCACGGTAAGAATATCACAATGGCTGTTGAGTAGCGGGCATTGGCGTCAGCGACACCTTGGCCGATGACAACACTGGCCGCTTTTTACAAACGCAGGGTTGATCAGCTCTTCCTCCGCAGTATCCACATGTCTTGGTGAGCACTTTCGAGCCAAAGGTTGTTCGCCAATGTGGTGGCCAAGTCGTCTCAATTGATGCACGTGCACACAATCGCACGTAAAACATTGCCAGACGTGGATAGAGTCCGTCAAGCTGCAAGCCACACCGCACAGCATAGGCGATATTCGTAAAAAGTGTGAAATCACACAAATACGGCACATCCGGGTCCACCAAGAACTGCTGTCCATCCAGATACGATTCCCACAGACTCAACTCAGCCTCGACAGACGCCCACTTGGCATTCACGACCGCTGGGTTACGCTTTTCTTGTGGAAATCGACGTAAATACACCACCAAGTCGCCCACTACCGACAATATCTCATTTGCTTCATGCAGACGCGACTGAGCGACTGCATACAGAGATGGAGATTCTGGCATACAAGGTGCCATGTAGTATTTTTTCTCTAGATATTCCAAAATCGCGCTCGACTCGTATACAATCGTACGATACTGTGACAAGGTCTGCGTCATCAGTCGCGAAATGCCGACGGCTGCTTCGGTCACTCTGCTCTTTGGCGACTGCGTTACATCATCAGTCTCTTTCTCATCATTCAATGGTGTCAACTCTGTTGGTTCCACTAGAACAGGGATCCGCATGCGTGGATTAAGCGCTCGAAAGAACGGTGACTTGAGCACACCACTGGAAAAGCTGACACAGACACTTCGATATGGAAGTTTCTTCTCTTCTAATGCAATCAATATACGCCAAGCTACAAGAATGAAACAAAGCAGATTAGCAGTCCATTCAATTGGGGGGTGAATTAGCACCAAAACTTCAGTATGAAAAGACAAGAATAACGACGTTTTTTCTACCTTGTGGACTACCAGACCCCCAATAAACGACACGTTCATGGGGTAACGGTGCAAGACGAAGCAATTCTTCTTCACTAGACACGAGACAATTCGGATCCGAGTTCATGACGGGCATTGAAATCATTTGTTCCTTGGGAGCTCAATTGAAAGAAAATGTACAATTGGTCGAGTGGATTGGGACCAATTGGAAGGCATGGGGGATAAGAACCTTATTTGTACTACACACACTATAGTGTATAAAGGACGGACTGGTGATTAGTACAGATCGTTAATCGTTGTACATGTTGTTGAGTACTACTGTTGATAGAATGTTGTATACCGTGACTAATATTTGTAGCTCCATGACGAGATTGTTATGGAATAATGGTCATAGTCATTTTTTGTTGGAAGAAAACATTACATTTTCTTGAAAACTACCAGGGAGATGACCCAATAGTGAGGAATGTGACGAGAGCGAGATCGAATTTTATCAGGGAGAACGAGCTTGATTACTTTTCTGATCGGCAAGTACGCTGCTGATGATCAAGCAAACGTGCTATCGAAGATGCTTTTACCCGGTTCAGCAGCCAGGACACAACGCTATGGTGATTCAATGCCGGCGTAAAAACGTTAACGTAGTTGCAGTCTCTGACTATGAACGAGAAGCATAAGGGCATCAGATCAAAACGTTTTCGGTCGTTGATCGGGTGTTTGTTATGCATGGCGACACGTCCGGACGTGACCTACATCGTCATGTAGCTACTTGATATTCGTGACACAGAGACGTTTCATATGTTACACGCCTTACACTTAGCACTGTACAGTAGCACTACGTTTACTAACCATCTGGTTTAATGCTCCAGGAACTTACAAAGCTTCTGATTGGTCGATATGATGCTATTGTAGAAGATGAATCTTTTATGTCCATTTGACGAGCTTCTTTTGTAACATATGGTATGCGAATGCACCCATTCCATGGTACCTTCATTCTCAACCATTCATTGACAATAATGGTCAATACGAGCAAGACAAGGACTGATCGTAAGCGTAAGGCTGGTCATGTGAATTTCCAAGCGGGTGAAATTGCCTTTATTGAAGATGAAATGGAAGCTTTGGCAGCGGAATATGGACTGGAAGTAGATGGAGATGTGGCTACTCATGTGCAGCAGCGTAAACAGAAGAAGAAGATACGGCGACATCGGGTTCGAAGCAGTTCAAAGAGCATTTCTACAGTTAGCGAGCACAAGACATCCCGCAACTTGAAGTCAAGCGCAACTTTTGTAAAGTTGCTGGACGTGAGACCTAATGAAAACGCGCATGACGACCATGAAGACGAGCATAAAATCGTACTTAGACGGTTAATAGCTGTACTACCTGATACTTGTGCTTTACGAGCGTGTGGTGTCCCTGGGTGCTCCTGTGTCAATGGATCAAGATCATTGGGATTACGACAGCACGACAATGAGTTGGACAAAATCCATACAATTGACGTGATTGAAAATGCTCAATGTCTCAAATGTCAACACGGAGTGCTGCAACATTCTGTAGTGTTGCGAGAAGATGTGGATCCTATTGCTGCAGTACCGAGTGGAGGTCAAAGATTATTACAAATGCTATTCCAGCTCATCCGTCTTGGAAGAATTGGTGCAAGTATTTTTAAAAGTCGTGTGTGGATTCAATCGGCCGTAGAACGACTGGATATTGTGCTGGTGCATCTCAAACGACTTTATGCTACTGGAGGTACGCAGAATGGACAAACGTCTGCGAGTGAATTACGTCAGGAAAGACAATTGTTGTCTGAGTTACAAATACAGCTACGTAAAGCAGAACAAGCTCTGAGAACAGCATCGCGAGATGGTCTGCCCATTTTATTGGCATGTATATGTGATCGGATGTACTTCCAGACATACTACAGTGCTCTTGTATTGTATGGACGTGCGTGTGGTGCTGTTCCTGCACCAGAAGTGTATTTGAAGGACCTGGATCAATTTACACCTGACAGTACGTTGCAGTTGGAGAAATTCCTGAACCGCGAGATGCTTGGCTCGGATGTGCCGTCTCGACTGATTCAATCGCTAGCCCTTCCCGTTGCGTCATCAAGTTTACCGGACGAGCTTGCACGTGAGCGTCTTCGTGCAGCACAGCACGAAACTGACAACCCACTGCTTGCCATTTATCACTCACGACTGCGTGATGGTGTACGACTCTTTTACGAAGAAGGCGTTGGTATGGATGGTGAGATGGATGCTGCTGTCGTGGCACCGAAGGGTAGTGATCTGGCTACCAGCAAGAAAGTCAAGGGCAACAAGAAGCCACAGAAAAAACACTATCGTCGTGAGAGAAATAGTGGTTCTCGCACAGGAGGTGATGCAAAGGAAGCATTGTCGTCAGCGCTGGTGGAGATGCCTAGCTACCCTCTTCTATCAGAATGGCGTAACAATTGCCGCGATTGGTGCTGTCACTTGTACGCGTACGCAACTCCTACGAAGGAGGCGCTGGATGTGATGGCAAAGTACACGCCAATCGTCGAAGTGGGCGCTGGTACTGGCTACTGGAGCTCTCTCCTGCTACGCGCTGATGTCGATGTTGTTGCTTACGACAAGGCGCCACCAAACGCTGAGGGTGCGGAGGGTAACGCTTACCACGGCCGTGTTCCGCCGTTTTGCTCCGTTGCTTGTGGTGGTCCTGAAGTACTCAGCCAGAAGAACATGGCAAAGCATACTTTGTTTCTGTGCTACCCGCCACCAGGTGATGCGATGGCTGTTCGAAGCGTCCAGTTGTTTCAGGGTGACGTGATTTTGCACGTCGGCGAGTGGCAGGGTGATACAGGTGACAGTCGTTTTGAAAGCGAACTCCAGCGCCGCTTTGAGTTAGAGAAGGAGATCACGCTACCCAATTGGGGCAACTCAGCGTACGGACTGACGGTATGGCGTCGCAAATCAAAGGACATCGAGCCCATAGCCTGGCGCGCAATGAGCTGTTTCCATTGTGACAAGACACTTAAAGACGCCGCCGCTGCGGGGGAGCCACTGCGACGATGCGTTGTCTGTAAGACGAATGTGTATTGCTCGTCCACTTGTGCGCAGCAAGATGCAGTGGGCCATGCTGCTGAGCACGCATCACGTTTAGTGTTTCTGAAAGACCCCACGTCTAGCACGGCGTATGACCGCATGTTTGAGAGCAGCGCGTTTTACCGCGAGCTGCGTGAGCCCAACCTTGATAATACTGTGATGGCTGTCAAGAGCAATTGGAATGCGCTGGTAAAGTCCGAGACTGCTGTTCAGGGCAACGAAAAGAATACGACCGAGGAAAGCGCTGATGAAGATAGTGAGGAAGAAGAGGAAGACTCGCATGACAAGACTCAAGCTGCCAAGATCACGACGAAGTCTGCGTTCGCCTTCAATTTCGGCGCTTAGAACATATCACTTTGCTACACATTATTGGCAGTCGCAACTCTGCAGCTCACTAGGTTTCATGGCAAAGAAGATTTTTCTGTTTTTCGGATTCAGTATCATCAACAGCATCAATCACGTCCTGTGCTGGCCATGACACCACTGCGTATCTCCTCTGAACAGTAAATACAACTTCCTCGACGGTTGTCGACAGCAACTGCTCCCGTCTTCCACATTTCCACCTCCTGAACCTGTTCCTCTTCTTCCTTCTTCATCTGAATCCCCCCAGACCCAGAAGTTTCGGTTGTCAATATCGAAATAGGCAAGAAGACCTTTGCAATCGGTCCGTTTCAGACTGCTAAGCACCTCACAAAACCACCTCATTTATTTTATCAGCCGTTCCTCGTTGCATGTCAATTACGTTATACTCAAAGGGACGGGCTCCTTTTGTACTATGGATCATATCCATGAGCACTAGTAAGTAGCCTACCTTACCACAAAATCATTGAGTGTCGATATTTCATGTAAGAATCAGCTGACCTTATCAATCCACTCCTAGTGCTCATCATGTATTTGCACCAACCACTCTAGAAACATGACCATCATGAACGCGACTTGCATGAAGGAAGTCGCGTTCATGTTGCTATTTCACGTCTACGCGTGATAAAATAAACGATGTCTTTCTCCGTAGCTCTTGCTCTTTCCGACCCACACACAGTTGCTCTGTACGTTGAATAGTCCGGTCTTCAGAGAATACCTGCAGACACATTTCACGATACCACGAAACAAAACCAGAATTCTTCAAAGAGCGAGAATATCTACGTGTTAATGATACGAGCGGTTCAAGACCCAGCAACAACTGCGCTAACAGTAAATCACGTATCTATCGACGTTCCTTTTACAAAAAATAAGCACCGACAGCAACGACGACCGCGACAACTGAGCCCATAGTAGGTAGCATTGCATCCGATTTCGGGAGCGGCCCGCCAGAACGAGGAGGAATAGCACCGCCCCCCTTGCCAGTAGGACCCGAGTCGGAGTCAGCCTTGGCAGTACTTTTCTGCTTAGTATCGTCTTTTTCCGACGAGGGTGAAGAAGGCGAAGAGGGCGCTTTGCTGGTCGACCCTGCGTCCGTAGTAATTAGATCAGCCGACGCCAGAGGGTCCAGGGAGCCAGCAGTGCCAGCAGCGTCACTGAGACCAGCAACGTCTGCGACTTCGTCCTCATTTGCGACTGTGTCTGTGGCATGGGATGAAGCAGCGGGTGAAGCAGCGGGTGAAGCTGTGGACGAAGAAGAAGAAGAAGCAAGTGACGATTTCACATCCGGCGTGGCGGCAGAAGGTGTAGTGGCAGTGGTAATAGTAGTAGGTGTCTCTGTAGCAGTGACGGTAGTAGGTGTAGTGGCAATGACAGGGGCAGTAGCAGTAGCAGGGGCAGCGGCAGTAGCAGTAGCAGGGGCAGCGGCAATGGCAGTAGCAGGGGTGGCAGGAGCAGTAGCACCCAATACAGTCGTAGTCGCCAATGCAGCGAGAATAAGGACCTGAATCACTTTCATGTTAATTCGTTGTTCAATACGGCTTGGATCTGTTGAATGGATGAACGTTTGACAAGTGACTTCGCCTTTCGGACGAGGAGCGACCACGAATATTCAGTCGACGTAACAAGTACATGAAGAGGGAGAGGTTATGATCCCGCACAGAACCGAGCCACGAGTTCTTGAAACGTGCTGGAATTTTTGGAATCACGGTAGGTTTCTATGGACTGTATCGACTGTTTTTTTTTACATGTGGTGGTGACATAATTGTGCTATCCAATTTCTGGCTGGATTTGAGGTCGACAGAGCTAATTTTTAGATCGAATACGTGGGGCAAAGTATACTTAGCCAAAGACGAGGGCACTTTGATGTTGTTGTTTGTCTGCTCGAAACTATGCGATATCTCGGATCAAATCCAGGCACCATTTTGATATAGTTGGGAGAATGTGATGATGATCAGACTGTCTATTCTCTTCCTTATGTTTAGTTAAGATACGTCTGTGAGGGGAAGTCCCTAATTTTCTGTCATGTCTACGTCGTTCTCCTATGTACGAGCTCATTCTGCTGGTTCAACCCGACGACTTCACGGGAGACACTTCGAATAAGCACGTGGGATTGTTTGACACAACACGAGCACATGCAGGGGGCAGGTGTCACCTCGAAAGTGAGATTAAGTACCAAGCCAGTTGTCCCAGACGGGCAGCCTAACTGATCCCTGTCATGCAGCTTGCTCCCCCTGGTGCAGTTATTAAGCACCGACCTGTTGACCCAGTGGTTCGCACACTGCGGAGAGAAGGCCTCTCCCCTGCAACTTTGGCCCCATGATGGGGAACTTCCCGATTAAGGTAAGAACACGGGTATGCCAGCTCTTTGGAGGCTTTCGTCGCCTGGCCGTTGCTGCTCTTGAGCTCAAATTGGGAGTGAGTAGTTGAGAGAATGTCAGATTGTCATCGAGAGTGGAGTTCTGACAGTTGAGAGGCGCTTATAGTGCAAGTCTGGAAGATAAGAGCTTGCTCATTCGCTTCCAGGGCTATTGAGTACTGGTATCTTCAAGGACCATGTGTTTGTGTGCAACGAATAATGCCCTGTTGAAAATCTAGAGAGTCCTCAACGTGTGGACAACTTGATGAGCATAAACCTTTGGTGTAAGTTTTTCAGGCAACAAGCTGACGAATGTTCTTCGGTTAGCATCGTGTTCGAAAGCACATGTGATGGATGACGTGCAAGTACCAAATGGTTGACTTGATTTGTGAATTCTAAGTAATAACTTCGACCGATTGACAACGCCTGATTGCGACACAGTGGATCGATGCATCGAGATTTTTGGTCGGTCGTGTCATACGTACGTGCTAATCCGTCAACACCTCAGCCTTTTGCTAAACACTAGGTGAGCATATAAGAACAAGCTAAAACTAGTCGGGCGAGCAGCTGAACGCACGTGATGTATCAATGACGTCGCATTCATATCGTGATCGCTGATCATATTGTGTGACTTGGCGTGGTTGTGTCTTAGTGCCTAACGTACAGCTTGCTTCTATTCAGGCCCTGTTGGTCAGCACTATGTATACCAGTGGCTAGAGTAGATTCTGTAAAGTGGACGCCGCAAACAAGTTTAAACTTTTCATTTAACGTTTGAAAATGTATGATGGTGCTTCTACTTTATAGTTAAAAAGACCTCACTCTTGGGTCCTGCTGAACAATGAAGATGCCTGCCCGAAAAACTTCCATTTAGAAGAAGGCAATAATCGCGTTGTTAGTTATTGGTTGACCTGTTGAGTTTCCTGAAGATTGCCAATTGGTAGCAGCAGCCTCTAATCCTCAGTATCATAATCGAGCCTGCCATCACGCCTGTAAGAGACTTTCTGAGAAACTGGATGTAACCCGCCTGACGCTGAGGATGATACTGAAGACGCAGTAGATCTCGACGATGCCTCAAGGCTACTCAGTGCCATATCCCAGCCAGACTGTTGTTTTGCGTTCATCAAACAGCTGAGGCAAAAGCGAAGAGAGCGCTGTTGGACTACACCAGTTTCTGACACGTCCATGGTTATTTTCTTGGTTACGCTGCACTTTGAACATACGACCAGGTGGCATATCTGACAGGTCGTACCGGTTCCAGACATAGACCACAAATGCTTCGCAAGACTTTTGTCACAAACTTTGCATCGATTTTCATCTGTAAGGTCGCGTTGGTTTTGTTTGCGCGAGTTGTTCACAAGCCACCTGAGCTTCTTGATGTAAGCGTAGTCCACAACATTCACACAACAGATTGCAGATTCCGCAGCAAGCGAAACCGATAGCCGACCTGGTACTGCACCGCGAGAGTCAAAGAAGCCACGGCAAAACACATCGACTTTACCAGGCCCACCCTGGTGGAATAGGTAGCAAAAGCTCATCAATCCACGAACCATACCCAAGTGCGTAAGCTCAAGGATCTCACGCAGTGTCACGGAGTGCATAAGAAAGTACCCCACTCTTTCGCCCTTTGAGTCGCGCGTGAAGCCCGAAGCCTCTATAATGAGAAAATCTCTTTGCTGCACAATACCCGTGAGTACCGCTGGGTGCTCCTTAGCAAACCATTTGACGCCAAGAAAGCGGCAGGGATCTTGACGAGTTGGGCCCCTGACGGTCGCTAAAAGACGGGCATCATCGAGATGGTCGTAGATGTGCGAGCTTCGCAACATCCATGCCACATTAGTGGGGGCAAAACATCCGAACATGCAATCATCCAATGTGCCATCCATTGTTCCGTGTAGGGCCATTAAAGCAACACCCCGTGGTCTCATCCTTTCCATGATGGTGTCTTCACCAATTCCAGGAGATGAACACGACGACATTTGTCTATCGCTTGCAGTGTCATACCTTAAAAAAGTGTGGTCCTGTGAAAAGGATGGACTCTGAATTACCGGGTTCCAGCAACCGTTATTGCGCTGATTGATCGATTTTTTTCGTTGACGAAACACTTGAATTCCATCTTTCGCGCGAACAAGTTTCCAGTGTGGGTATTCCAACTTAGAACCATGGGAAATAAAAGCTTCATTTGCAACAACCATCTCTCTCACAATAGTATCTGCTTCATTACTAAATTGTTCTCGTAACTCCCTAGACAAGTTCACGGCAGGAAATGCATCTTTTGGCAACGTGAACTTCATTTTGTCGCCTTGTTCGCGTTTTGAAAAGTGTTCGAGAAACGATATGCTTTCAAGATTTGAGAACCAATCCACATCGGATTTTCTGTCCCTACTTCTTGTGTCTCAGGTCATATGGGAAGTTCAGCAGGTAAGCTCTGAGTAATCATCATTCGTTTGAAGTAAAGTTTTCCTTTTTTTAGCACCTAAGTTAAGGCCATTCGTGGCTGCAAGGGTATATCAAAGCTTGCATCGCATTCCCAAATTTTCGCGGACAAGCTCAAGCTCAAGCCACTCAACCCTCATCACGGGCAACCTCCTTTGACGGGAATCCTCCCTCAATATCCATATCTCGGCTCCCACGTCTCGGGCATGCATTTGCGCGGCCACCGATCTGTGGACAGCAGACCACTCCGGCCGGTAGCGATCCCCGCGCTACTTATCATCGCTTCGGCGACCGCGCACTTCAGACAAATTGTTTTTATAGGCCGCTCGAGCGGCCTATAAGGACATAAATAACGGTACACGTCTGCTGCTATGCTGCATCAGCTTCGCTGGACAATCCTAAGAGCGTAATTAGCCCCGTACAATCACCGGACTCAATCGAGCACCGATGTACTACCATACATCCTGCAACCCCTAAACGATGAAATAGAGTCGTCTGCCTCTCTCAAAGCTTGCATTTATTTTGAAGTACATCAGATAGGGGCTCTTTACATGCCTTATTAAACCAAACGTCTGTAAAAACAGCATGATTATGTATCTGACCGACAGTTCAAGGCTTTTTTCAACGCGAAATATTAGTAAAGCTTTATATCACTTGTCACGTACTTAGAAGACAACCGTTATGATGGTATATTTGACTTCATATTAGGTGGCAATGGAAGGTTTTGCGTTGGGAAGGCTATGCTATCCATACATCAGGGTCATAGTTGCCACCCCGAAAAGGCCATAGCCAAGCTCAAGACTTTGTCGGGTACCCTACTTTTCCCTGTACTAGAGTATTGTCCTCACATGACTAACGACCACAAATCTTTGACATACAGCTAGACTATCCAAATTGAACCTGCATCGACACGACGATATGTAAAAATAGGATTGTGCAAGTCAAATTGTGCGATCGTTTTGCTAACACAAGGAACCCTTTTTATTGCGAGTCGTCGAGACACGTCTCTGCGTCGAGACAACATCTCTGGGTCCGCATACTGACTTCGTTTGTCATTGTCCACTACACAGACGAAAAGTCAACAAGAGGACATGGGACAAAGCGGTCCTCGACTGCGGCTCAAGTATCCGGCGAATAACGAAAAAGGAAACGCAGAGGGCACTTCGATTCCGACAGAGAATCCAGGCTCAGGCCTGCACGCACCTGCTGACGCGAAAAAGTTTCATACAGACAATTGAAGAGGAGCTTCGACTGGCACAAACCATTCGACAGGGCCTCCGCCTGGAACGGACTATGGATAGTCTGCGATGGCAATTTACGGGCCTCGAACTGGGAAAAAGACCAATCCATTTCCGGGCTGTGACGGATCAATGGGCAGCCTTTCCGCAAAGGAGACACAACTGCAAACCATTTCGCATCCGAGCGGCGGCCAATTCTCTGTTACATTCACAGTATTGTACCCGCCATAGCTCTCAAACACAGGCGTTACAAGACTTTATAATCATGCCAACCGATCGTATCCTAACCCAGGACGACAACGAAATACTCATGGAACCTATCTCGTTGGCAGAGGTCCTCCGGGCCACCACGTCGCTCTCCCGACATAAAGCGGCTGGGCCGGACGGGCTCAACAACGATTTCATAAAGGATTATCAAGCACTACTTGCACCGGCACTCGTCACGATAGGCAACGACATACTGCAGGGAAGAACGCCACCAGCCTCCTT